CATCATTGTACTCTATGAGAAACAGAGACAGCCAACTGGACAGCTAAAATTAGAGGGCTGCATCCATTAAAAGCTAGATGGTGAGAGTACCCACAGCTACCTGTAGTAAGAGCTAAAAGTAAAGCTTAAACTTCTTGGTTATTCAGTTTATTTCACATTAACATACATAAATGAGGTTGGCTCACCTTAAATGGAACCATGTTGGAGAAAAAACAAAACCAAACTCCTGCTACAGCTAACGGGACTAGCTTAGTTACGATCTGCCATCGTAGTTTTTGACTGTTGTGACTCACAGACTGTGTATGTGTATATATCTGTGGATATGCTATCTATATTTAAATTGCAAATGTTAAATTGGGTGCCACAAGTACAAACAACTAACAAATAAACACCGATGTACCATAATATTATGATCACTGACAGGTAAAGTGAATAACACTGATTATCTCGTTATCGTGGCATCTGTCAGTGGGTGGGGTATATTAGGCAGCAAGTGAACATTTTGTCCTCAAGTTGATGAGTTAAAAGCAGGAAAAATGGGCAGTGTGAGAATTTGAGCGACTTTGACAAGGGCCAAATTGTGATGGCTAGATGACTGGGGTCAGAGGACTACTCTCTGAAACTACTTTCCAAAACTGTAGCTCTTATCTTATAGATTATCTTACCTATCAAAAGTGGTCCAAAGAAGGAAGAGCGGTGAACCCGGAGACAGGGTCATGGGCAGCCAAGGCTCATGGATGCATGTGGGGAGCGAAGGCTGGTCCGTGTGGTCTGGTCCAACAGACGAGTTACTGCAGCTCAAACTGCTGAATTGCTGTCAAAAGCTGTGGACGCTCTGTTCTGTCCCATTTTTCGTAACCTTTCTGTTGAGATACCTAGCACACTGAACCGTGACGGTGACGTGAAGTTAGAAACACTGAGGACAAAGCTTCTCTCCTTACCTGTACCATGTGTTTGCAAGGAGCAAATGAGGATAGAGTGGCAGAAACAAAAGACAGTAGTTAATAAAATGCAATAAATTCCCACCAAATCTCCAGCCCAACTTCAACCTGAGCGGAGGTCTAATCAGTCAGAGTAACTGAAAACACCTGTGAGGGTTTTCAGTTAGGCTTTAGCTTTCTGAACCATGCACAATCCAGTCTGCTTTTCATCCACCCACACAACATCCACAGCACTTCTGGATGTACCTCAAGGGCACGCCTGAACATCCTCCACTGTGAAGAAAGAACCACAAAGGCATTCTCCACAACCAGTTGAGCCCTGGGCAGGCGGTAATTGAAGGTCCGGCGCTCTCTAAGGATGTGCCCAGCGAATGGCCTCATCAGCAACAGACTCAAACACAGTACACTTATCTTCATCTGTTTGTCGTTTATTTTTAAACTTGGCTAAAATCAGTTCCCTCACCTTACTCTCGTCTCCTCCAGTATTACTCTGCTCGTCTGGTCTCTCTCTCTCTTTTCCCTGTCTTCTGTGCTTCCTTTAACTGCTCCCTCTCTCATATCGTCGTCTCTCTGCCTGTAACATTACATTCTTTATGTTCATTTCTCTCTGTCCTCTACCCTTTGTTCTCTCTCACCCTTTGTATTCACTGCCTGACCTTTTCTGTGTCACTCCTCACTTCAATTTGTATGAAAAATAATTCTGTAATATCATGTACACCCTCCTTTATTTCATCATCTGTTGGAGTTTGCATATTACTATAATAATACTGACTAGTGCTTAGGCCCTATTGTATTTGAAGGAATTATTATCCCCATTTTTGTATGTGGAAGCACACACGTCAGTCGTGGGGAAAACTTTAATGGGTCTCGCACATGTATACCGAAAAATGGCTCGACACCGCCCCCTATTGAGCAGCCCCAATGCCACGTTTCACCTATGAGTATGAAAAGTGGTAAACATGTAGGTCATGTCCAGACGTACAAAAAAGCCTCTTGGAGCCATATGCCAAACTCAACAGGAAGTCAGCCATTTTGGATTTGGATTTTTATGTACTCTTGGTTTAGAAAGACTACAGAATTGGTGACCACATTCTAAAAACCTCCAGGATTAAAAGTTGTGCTCTTTATGATTATTCATTGAACAGTGTTTCTGTGGTGTGGCGGGAAAACATTTTAAATGTGGAGACGCTTTGCCATGATATTGGTAAAAATTATTATTATTTTTTTTGAAATGTGAAATTTTGATCTCATTTCCCGGTGATCTATTTTTTAAGGAACTATTCGCGAAACTTGACGTGTGATCACAGGAATAATACAAATGATAGTGTAGCTCCACCTACTGGCAACAGGAATTGATATGTTTTATATATTCATTTACTACGTCTCAAGTTGATCAGATTCACCACAAATGTACTCAGAACAGCATTAAGATTTTAATGATGCTTTATTGGGAAATTGTCGACATTGAGAAGAAATGTATCTCTTATTTTACAAAACTTAGAAATACTAATACCATCCTCTCCCATGTGTTCATCCTCTCCTCCTGGAACCCCTCATTGTCTGTTTTCTCACACATTATTTGATTCAATCAATAAATAAAAAAATAAAAATATATTGACACTCTTCACATTCACTCACTCAACAAGCTGAATTGTCCCCTGTTCTGCCATGGTACAGCCAAATTTGATTAATTATATAATAAATATAAAATGTTTACAACACCTACCATCACAATCAAAAGCCACCTCAGCAGGGCCACCTTCTGGTCACTTGCCCTACGGAGACGGACCTGCCGAATGCCCTGACGTGGGGAGACTAGAAACATTGGATAATAATAAAAACGGTTCATTACTTTAAATCGGTCTCCTCAGCGCTCAACTTTATCATGTTTAACCCAGATCAGGACCAATGCTAACAATACAAAAACAACCAGCTGCACGTCCTGAAATATGGCCTCAACCGCCGGGTCATTTATTGTTGGCAGTTTTGAAGGACTATTGAAGTATGCCATTGCGGTAAAAAAAAAACAGAACACAGTACAAAATAAATCAATTACAAACAATATCCACATTAACATAGTAACATACTGTGAAAACAGAAAAAAAAAAAGGCATTCCTCACAGCAACGTGCAGTAGCTGCTTACATCCACCAAGAAATATCCGATCTGACCCTCCTGGGGCCCCGCCTTAATTGGTGTTGGCGCAGATCTTGTGTTACTGACACTGTTAAAAGTGTGGGCAGGCAGTAACTAAAAAACAAACTGATTTTAAGGTGACTAATATTGTAAAAACAGTTTGTGTCGATCAATAATCACACTTAATAACTGCTGATGACAGGCGGCTGTGGCTCAGAGGCAGAGCAGGTCGTTTTTATCACCTTGTTGACCAAAAAGTTATAGCTTTGGAAGACACCACAGTCCAATACTGTGTCCCAAATCAGGTTGCCAGTATCGGATTGCAGTGGTTTTTTGATGCGTGGTTACACAGTTCCAGATATTTGCTCAAATTCAGCAGTTTTCTCCACATCACCAAAATAAATTAAACTTTTACAGCAGGAGCAGATTCCCATTTAGCTACTCCCCCCGGTGCCTTGACGTTGCCCAAACTGGACCATGTTTATTTCAGACTGGAAGCAGCAACTTAGGGCAAGGTTTGCTAGACGTTGGCATTCAACGCATTCTGATGGGTCCAGCAGAGTATTCGGGCGAGCGGGGAAACATCACACTGGGCTCAGAGCTTTCATGGTATCGCACTTTCAAGGGCTGTCACACTGTTACTGCCTCCTCTGCAGCTCTTTCATATTATGGTGGCACAGAGCTACTACCACCTCCAGTGCGGGTGAGTGACAAATGTGACATTTTATTTCTGTTAATTCCTGCGCTCACTGATCTCAAAGGAAAATAGTTAATTGAGTCTGCAGTCTCCATAATTAAAAACTATCAACTGCCTTTGACAGCCTCAGCCCTTTCTTTCCTAGAACACAGGGTATTAAAACAGCAACATTTTGTGGAAGGAAGGCAGGAACAATCTGGGGTTATTCTGTATGGTTTTGGACCCTTAGTAAAGTCTTGTGGTAATAATACTTATGTTATTGAATACCACAGCATAGGTATGTTGTGGTGTCCACATACTTCTAGATATACACTGAACAAAATTATAAACGCAACACTTTTGTTTTTGCCCCCATTCATCATGAGCTGAACTCAAAGATCTAAGACTTTCTCTATGTACACAAAAGGCCTATTTCTCTCAAATATTGTTCACAAATCTGTCAAAATCTGTGTTAGTGAGCATTTCACCTTTGCCTTTGCCGAGATAATCCATCCACCTCACAAATGTGGCATATAAAGAGGCTGATCAGACAGCATGGGTATTGCCTTAGGCTAGCCACAATAAAAGGCCACTCGAAAATGTGCAGTTCCATCACACAGCACAATGCCACAGATGTCGCAAGTTTTGAGGGAGCGTGCAATTGTCATGCTGACTGCAGGAATGTCCACCAGAGCTGTTGCCCGTGAATTGAATGTTCATTTCTCTACCATAAGCCGTCTCCAAAGGCATTTCAGAGAATTTGGCTTTTTTTTTTTGTTCATATATATCAGTGACAAAACAGCTTTTTTACTCCTTTTTTATCAACTGTTGATAAGATCCTGACAAGATAGGTCAGGATTCCATCTTAAGTAGACAAAGGAGTACTATGTGTGTGCACTGCTTTACACAAAGTATTAATTTTAGGGTATGCACCTGTCACTGGTGAAGACTATAGTGGCTTAAGTAGTTCCCAGTTGATTTTCTCCACAAAAAGTAAAGTTAAAGTTCTTGACCCCGGTGCTTTACTGTCACCGTCCTCCTGTGTTAACCCTCTGGTGAGGTGTCCCTCACACACACCTCCATCTGAATGCACTTTCCCAACTGGAAATGCATTTGATAACATGCTTAGATGAGATACCCTGAAGAAAAGCTACATCGGTTATTGTTTAACATTCAAGTACTGTCGCCGGCTGTGGTGAGTCAGACACTGACAGCATCACAATGTTTGTATGGTATTTATTTGTTGGCAGTTTAGCCTCATACATTAAACATACTGTATGGTTTGTATCAACAAAACAAGTTTTGTCAAACAAAATCTTTTCACCTACACATATAGAACTGTATATATTTCACACTTAATAAAGCTATCTATGCTGTGTGGATATTACAGACAGTTGTAGAAGACGTGGTTATGGAAATATAAATATAAGATGGTATATAGGTATAGGAAAGATGGATTGGTTTCTGGACAATATGAACCATGCTGCAACTGGCAGCTGTCAGTTAAACCAATATTCTATATATTTATCTGACTTTTTTTTAAATATTTATTTTATAAAAGCCTGTGCAGCTACACTGCCTGTGTGAGCTGTGCTACTTAAGCAAAGAATGATTCACAGGAAAATATGGCAGCATGTAATCCAGCACAATTTTTAACCAGTGTTAACAGCCTCATTATTTACAGTTCACTCTCTTTATATGACATCAGAGTAGCATATTGTAATTATTTTTAAGTGAGTTTGTTTGACTGCACTGTACAGATCCCTCTTCTATTGTATTTCTGACAACAACAAAAAACTGTTTGCCATAGTATTAAATTATTATAAGTATTATTATTGAGACTGAAATCCTATGGAGTAAAAATACTACTACTGTGTATATAATATTTACGGTGTGAAACAATACACTTTTATTTTACAAGGTGAAGCAGGCTTTAAATTCAGAATGTTTATTTAAAATAGTATTTAAGTGCTATTATTTAAAGAACAATTACTGCTCAGTGTATTTTGGGGCTTAATAGTTCTACTCTTTGAACTTGGACTTTTCAAGCTTACACACAAAGTGGTTTCCAGATTAAAATATATACAGAACAAAACTTAAAACCCAGAAACCCATGTGAGTCTCCCCTATAAATATAAAAAAAAACATGAATACATAATCTGCCGAAACTGAGCCCGGATGGAGATGCAAGTGCAGAATCATAGTGCAGGTCTCATGTAGTGCAGACATACAACAATCCTATATAAAGCAGATATAATGCCAATAAAAGACCAAAAATAACAAATTTAAAACAGATAAAAGCTTAAAAAAAAAGATAAACATCTTATTCAAATGATTTGCAGTATAATTGTGTGTGTAATAATTATCTATCACACCACATTCACAGAGCAGCACAGCATGCTCTGACCTTAGGGAACAAACAACAAATAATGAACATGAATAAATGATCATGTGAACAAACATAGATAAACGAGCAAGTATTGAAACACATTCACAAACATTCAGAAATACAGCTATGTCCCTAGGGGTTTACTGAGTTGTCAGATGTCTGTTTACATCAATTTGAGATTTCTGGTATTATTAAGGGTCAAGCCACTGGCTCCGTTCACATCGGGCCCCAGGGTGTCTTTTGTATTTTTATATCTGATCCCAAAAAGACTGCAGATTTTCTTCAGCATCAAGTCGACAATCTCTTCCTCGTCTGAGGGCTAGGTGAGAGGGAAGATGACAAAATCATTTTTAGAGTGATGACAAATATTGGCGAGATGCATCTTGACAACACACACTGCTAAAGACATATCATGTAAGGATTTTTTGATTTTGTATCTATTTCTTTTTCTGGGAGACAGACATCTCAAAATGTCAGTGCAATTTAGTTCTTTCACAGTTATTGGGGGACAAAAGCCCCCTCAGAGACTAACAATGAAACAATTGTGTTTCCGTTCCTATGGTGACATTTTGCAGGTGTACTCTGGCTTTCTAGATTCTAGATTTACAACCCTTTGGTCTTCTTTAGAAAACCATTAAAAGAAACCTGTGATGAAGGCTAAATTGTTAATATTGAGATTTGAGGATGGACACCCATGATCTGGAGCCACTGCTGGCTCTTGTGTAACTGATTCTGCTGATGTGTTGCTGAATGTAGTGAATGAGAGGAATACACTGTCTGTAAAACGTACAGTCCTGGGTTGTGTAATATCCTTCATTGCCACCAGTAAAAAAACATACACCCTCATTAATTAATTAAACCTTATTAATTCATTTAAAATGGCTAATTACAGAGTAAGTTTCAGAATATGTGCTGCTAATCCATCAGTTTAAACACACTGTAAAAACAACAAAAAGTCAAATTTGCAAGAAGTGAATTTGTAATTTAATTATTCAAATGTCTAGTTTTAAACAGTCTATTTTTATTCCACAACGGCATTTTTCCCAGTGACACTTTTTACATCGATTGTCTCTTTTCGTGACAGCAGAGTCATCACCAGTCACTTGTCAGTGAATCACAGACTTCCAACTTCTCAGCAAGCTCAACAACTGCTAACTAGTCACCTAGCTTCTGTCAGCTACCAAAGCGAAAGTCTTTTTGCTTTTTTTCGGGGCAAATTGAAAAAATTAACCAGCTAACACTGGCTCTTCACTCTGACATATCATTGCAAGCTCACAGGCCAACCCAGCTAGTTTAACTCAGCAGCAACAAGTTGATTGATTCAGTGTTAACATTGCTGTCGCTCAATCTAACAGGAGCTGATTGCTGAGTGAAGTGGCAGTGACTGGTGACAACTCATTTGGGATAAAAAGTTACATGACATCATAAAATGAAAGTAAAAACAAAAAAAAGTGTCTTATTTATTTAATTAATACTGAGCACTTTGCAGCTCCGTACAGCATCTCTGCATGGATGTCTTTGCTTCACTGTTCACTTGCCAACCTCTGCATTAGCAGTAGGAGTGCACAAGAACCGCACTGGCAGCTGCAATGTGTAATGTGTTTATCCTTTTCACAAGTTTTGCCCACACATGACAAATGGGAGGGTTACAGTAGCATCCTTTTCCAGACAATCTAATGAGAACAGCTTTTGATTGATTTGGCATGACTACAGAGCTAGCCATGATTTAGTAATCTTTAATTACAAAAAACAACCTCACTGCTGAAGTTGTACAAGAGTATGTGTGAGGTTGTGTTTGCTGTTGAAAAAGAGGGAAGAGACTAATATCCAAGAAGAGATTATCTCAAGGATAGTCTGGCAGTGTCAGCCTTCCGCTGCCTTTGTGTTGGCCATGTCTTCTTCAGTGACTAAACCAAACTAGCACAGGCAGGAGATAAATTGTTCTGTGAAATTGAAGCTGGGGAAAGATGGGCACACAGCAGGGACAACCCAGAACGGGAGAAGTACAGGCCAAGAGAGGAGAGACTTGAAGCGGGTATTGGAGCGAGGGAGGGCGACAGCGTGTAGAGCCAGAATATTTTCTAACTTTGTTAGATGGTTAGACACCAGAGTTGGTATTGTTGGAACAGTGTAATGTCTTTACTAATAAAGACGGTTTAGTCAGTTTTATTTTTTCTGTTGAGTTTGAATGAAATGTGTTTTAGAAACCCTTAACAAGGTTTTAGTCCATTAAAAGAGAGAATCTTGAATTTACAAGGTGTGCGGTTGTATTTTGCTTGCACACAGGCGCATGTTGGACTGACCGTAGCCGGTTGGAAATTTTATATATATCGCCTAACCCTAATGTATTGTTCATCAGTTGATTTATAGTATTGTATAAAGTTTTTTGCTGTGCTCAAAAACATTTTTTGCATCAAAAAGTTAGTGCACACCTTTCAATAAGACCTGAGGTTCTTTCTAGTGGTTTTTGGGTACAGGGTAAATTAAGGGCTCTAGCTTTGTAGAATATAAGTAAATATAATTATAATTCAAATTAACACTGACACTACAATAATCCTCCCGGTAGGGTTCTTGGAAAATTCCAAGCGTATCTGTAAAAAAAGCTGAGTACTACTACCCAAATCACTGTTTAACATAAATATCAAAACTAGAATAATGACTCATGGTAAATATTACCTTGTGATATATTTGCTCCTCGCTGAATGCCACAAGGATCACTGAGACAAGGAGATTGAGCACCACCAATGTCATGAACACAATACAGGAACCAAAGAGTAATCCACCAAGCATGGGAGTGCAGTCCAAGACCTGGCAAACAGAGAGAGACATTAATATCAGTCTGAGCTGACTGACCACATATGAGATTTACCTGTATGCCCTTATTATTATCGAGCATGTTACATAGCAAATCTGTGAGCAGAAGAAAATCTGATGTACCTCATCATAGTTAAAGATGCCTATCTGCAAACTGATGATGGTCACCAGAGCGTCCGATAAGGTTCGATAAGAGGACATCTTCCAGCCATAAATCACGTTGCTCTAGAAAGTTGATCAAGTACATAATTTCAGTGATTTGAATCATAGAGAATGTGTGCTGTAAATTAGAAGATTAAAATTCATTAATATGTTAAGGAGGACCAACAACTGTATGTTGTCTTGCAAAGAAAGCCATAAAACTTTTGGAAAATCTTCAAGTATTTTCATGTTTCATTTTAAATGTCGGTTTCCTTGAGCATACCTTCTCTTGACAGCAGGGAAAAAGTTTTACTCTCTTTGACACTCTACTTAATTAAATTGACTTCAAATTTTTCACTTTCACCTTTTAAAAAGTGCCTTAACTGAGCAACGTACCCCAGGTGATTCAGGAGAACTTTGAAATTAAAATGATATTTTGAGAAAAGGTAAAGGGACAAGATACTCACTGCAATGGAATACGCTATGAACATGATCACTATGATCACAAGGAAACTGGATATGTTGCTCCAGGCCCGCTGCAGTGTAGCAGTGATCATGTTCATCTTGGGGTTCAACCTGAGCAGGTGCCACAGTTTGACGGTGGCAAGCAGGACCAGGAAGGCAATCAGATATTGGAGCGTTGAGTCCGCTATGGCTGTCTCATAGAAACTGGGAAATCTACACACACAATAAAGATGTGGACAATCACAAATAGGAGAAAAAGAGTACTATCAAAAAACACTTTCAAAATGTGCAATGATCACAGGCTCCATTAGACTGTTAAGTAATGCTTTGACTGAAATGCTCAAATTAGCATGCTAACAAGCTCACAATGGACTTGCACTTTTAGAGCTTTTTTGGTCTACCGACCACTCCAAGCACTTTACGACACACACACCCATTCACACACATATTCATATGGCAGAGAACTGCTCTTCTTCTTCTCCAAAGTGATAAGCATTAGTCAGAAAATACTTAACTACGACATAAAGCCCACTGCACATCTACTGCTCTTAAGGTTTTGGCTTGACAGTTGCTTTTTCATGCCCTACATACTAAAGATCAAACGTATGGTTTGTATAACATATGTTAGTCTCACTGGTCTTTGTGGTTTTGGTAGTAGGTCATGTCGCGGTTCCCAAGCAGGGTCCTCTGGATGAAGACAGCCACAGCGCTCCAGCTCAACAGGATGATGGTCAGATCAAGAAGGTTCCACTTGCTCCGGAAGTAAGCCCACTTCTGCTGTTTCATTAGTTTGTACTGCCAGGAAAAGAAAGAAGGACTGTCATGTCACACAAGAGGAACCATTAACATAAGTAAGAAGAAAGCACTTTTGAAAATATGCACAAATATTACTTTCGCCAGGGTTAATCTTTTCGGTGCCGTTTGTGGCTTTGTCAGTCAGCAGGATTATGGAACAACTACGGGCCCTACTGGGTGGAAGGGTGTAGCATGGGCCAAGGTATGTAAGAAATATTGATGATATGATTTTTACAGATTAATTCTGGATTTTCTGACCTTTTTGTAATTAATGTGAATGGTGTGCAGATCTGCATATTATAGAAGACTGGACTAATTGGTCTTAGCAGAGGTGTGTACTCTTAGAGTACCTTTCTAGAGAAAAAACATGGTGGTTCAACATGGCGGACACCGTAGAAGAGGACCCGCTACCTCTGTAGATAAAAATGGTTCATTCTAAGGTTTGAAAATACAACTACTCTTATTTTCAGCTGATTATACATGAATGAAAACATACCTATGAATATTTCATTTCTGACAATCTTCCTAATAAATGTTACACACTGAACCTTTAATCATTTTTATTTTAAAGACTGGGTGCTTTTCCCTTTATTGGTCTTTTAGCACATTTTGTATTATGTAACCTTTATTGATTTGTGGAATTCTTAACAGTGTCAAGTAAAAAGTTAAAATAATAAAACAAATGTAAATAACAATGAAAATGAAAAGGTACCTTTTTCATGCTTTTTACTTCTAAGTCAGTTTACACTTTAAATTGTTGGTTGTAGATGATTAACGTTTACTCAGCGTGCATTTATGCTGTCTATTTTAATATGCGGTATATGAGACTTTGATCTCAATGCTGTTTGATATCCAAACTTCCAGGTGAACTTCAAAGGTCTGCGCAAACATTTTGTAGCACAATAAAAGAGCCTCAAGAGGCTGCAAGGAAGGACACACAATGGGACCTTGCTGCCCAGAAATTACAGTTAATGGTGAACATCCATGACATAAACCAAAATGGCCCTGAATAAAGTGGAAAAATATAATTAAGGTATGAGTCAGTGCTGTGCTTATAAAAACTGTGCTGTATAGAATAAGGAACAGTGATTATGAAAAATCACAAATGAAAGTAATGATTTTACCACAGCAACATCGTCATCAAAACATTACTGTTGGCCTCAGGTCTTTCCTGTAATAATTCAGGAAGCATACAGTCAAAGAGAGTTAGATGACTTATCCACATGCACATTTTGAACTCAATACCTCCATCAGCATTTCAACCTCAAACCAATATCTCTAATGTTAATTGTCCTTCAGACTGACTGCAGGAGCAAACAACACATATGTTCTGGAAAAATTGGTACGTCATTGAAAATCATCTGTAAGAAGCATGCTCAAAGTTGGGGTGACAGGGTTCATGTGGACAGACTAATGAGCACTGCCTGCAAATTATGTGGTCAGTCTAAGTTTGTGAAGCACTCAGTAAATATAGAAACCCCAGCGAGTTCTGACTGGAACCACATTCTGCAGTAGTCATGTTGGCGTTTACCTGCAGGAACATGTAATAGAGGATGAAGAGCATATATATGATCTCAGCAGCCATAACAAAGATGTGAAGGCCTCCAGTTGAAATGTAAAGCCGAACGCTCTGTAGCTCACTGTTGAACTGAAAGGCTCCTAAAAATCAATGGAAACAATTTTATTTAAACACAAGCAGGCTAGCAAGATCTCATTTATATAATGTAGGGTACAGTATATTGATGTGAGATATATATCTGTTATGTATAAATCTTCTTTAACAAAGTTTCACATTTGCATCTTTGGCAAAGCAGTGGTTACATTATGATTCAGAATCAGAATTATTGCCAAGTAAGTTTACACATACGAGGAATTTTCCTTGGTGCATAAGAATCACAATCGAATAGAAAGATCTAAGAGCTGTACAGGAATGTGCAAAGTTGACAAGAATGATATTTACAACATGCAAAATAGAGAACCAAAAGAAGTGCATGACTGTAATGCAAATATACAGGGTGGGTTTAAGAATCAGTGTCAGTGGGGGTTTCAGACTAAACCTTACCTACGGCTGTGGTCTCCAACAAGAGTGTGACGATGCAGAAGAGGTTCACGTTAGCGTTATAAACAGTGAACTCTACAATGATCGCCCTGGTGTACATATCCAGCCATTTGTTGCTGAACAGATACTCAAGGGTGCTGTAGATGAAATACACAATAATATTTGAACTGTAGGCCTTTATGCTCTGTTGAAGTGTTCTACTTGTCTTTAAATAGTATTGAACATTGGCTTTAACAGATTTTTTTTACATCTGTGTCTTTTCAAAGTTCATATATTGCTTGCTTTGATAAATCTGAGGGTGACTAAACCACCTGGCCCACTGAGGATAATGTAAACTAGCAGTCCAGTAAACAGTAATAGAGTAAGAGTAAAAAAAAAGAATATCTTTGGTTCTCATATTGATGCGTTCCATTTCACTAATGTACGTACCTGCTGGCATTTTGTAAATCTGGGCCGAGCTCCGCTACAAAGCCACCTCCCCTGTAGAGCACCGTTTCCCCCCAGACAGGGTGATCCCTGAGCTCAGCCTGTGTCTGGTACTTCCATGGGCTGGAGGTGCTTGTAGAGTCATTATCCCTCACAGAGTGGTTCCAGCCAGGGTCGTAGGAGCCCATGTCCTCCACCTCCCATGAATATGGAGCGTGACAGTCTGGTACAAACTGGAGCATGGACCCGGCAATATGACATGAGTTCTTCTGCACTCTCAATTGACGGAGACGGGCATTACCCACCAGCTTGGAGTTTCCATCTGTGATAAATCCTGGAACATAGCATTTAACAGTTTCTTTGTTTGTCTTATTATTATTATTATTATTATTATTATTATTATTAGGGATGTCCCCTGATCCGGAGTCATTTAATATTGAGCATTTGAGTTTTTCTCTCTAATGTTTGGTGCTTGAACTGTCTGTATTCTGCTTAGTGATTATTCTCGTCGTCTGTATCTTTCGCGTGGATTAAGTTAATTGAGTACTGTTATGGCGACGTTTTTGTTGCACTTGCAGTGGCGTGCTGAGCGTAGCTGTACAGCTCACTACTCCGAGCACAGGCAGCCCCACCTGCAGTGAAACCCCCGCTGCGGGCTGTTGCTCTCTCACACACAGAGCTCAGAGAGTGAGGAGGCGGGCAGAGAGGGTTGACATGGCTGCACTGTGCATAAAAGCTTTGTGAGTAAAAATAGCTGCGTGACAGCTGACATAAAACAATGGATCAGATCATTAAAGCTCAATACAGCCGATACCGATCAGTTCAAATCGGGTCGGGACATTTCTGTATATTATTTATGTCTTTATACATGTCTGGAGGAGATCTTTAATGTTTTGGCACAGATTGTCATTCTGTGCTAAAATTTGAGTTTTTAGTCAATTGACCAGTTATTTTTATTTTTATTTTTTTGCATTACTGTTGGGTTATTTAGCCAAACTAAAATATGGTTATTTTGAACAAGCTCAAGTTTTATCTGAAAACTGTCATTCATTTTTCTTGGTTGTAAAAATTGATGAGCATATTAAGCAGGGCAGACACTTTTTTTTAATTAATCCTGAACACCTCTTAATCAGCCTTTCATCACGGCCAGAACCTGCAACTTCTCTGCTCACATTATTGAATCCATTGACCAACAATTATCTGTGACCAGTTAATAGCTCCTTTTTGCATTAGCCTACCGGAAGGACTTTATAAACCCCAACTGCTAAAAAGACACAAACAATAAGAAATTCAATACTAAAAGCATCCTGCTCCCCAGCCATGGAGTTTATTGTTATTTAACTCCACAGCATGACAGCAAGAAGTCTGCTTTTTGGACAGCACCCAACAGCTTTTCACTTACAACAGACTTTTGGCACCCCCCCGAAAAGCAAACATAAAGCTCCTTTGACATGAGGCATTGTAAATTGTTTTACTTCACAGAGCAAATCACGTTATTGAACTATTACGTGAAAAGAAAGGGGAACAAGGATATTTTGGCACAATGTTTGTATGTCAGTATCAAGAATAAACTAAACATTTCTAGCTGTGTATCATAAGAAAAGCTGTCTCTTGGTACAGTAGGTGCGTATATTAAAAACAGAAGATAATGTAAAAGGCTTGCTTGTGTTTTTTCCCTTTCCTTTTTCTCTAAAATATCAGGTCAAAAGTGCACCATAACACGCACTGTGTGCAGAGAGATTACGTTCCTATCTGAGAGACATTTAGAGAACAGAACAATTTATATTTTATTAACGTAATGGTGCAGACAGAGTTTTACCTGGATAAACTCCAAAAAGGTTACTAAGTAGAGATGTTTTGGCCCAAGTGAACACATCTCCAAGACTCATACTGTCAGAGATGTCGCCACTGAAGCTATTTCGGATGTGCTGTTTCAGGAAAAAAGCATTGGGGTCTCTCTGGCCGTGCGCCACCAAAAGCAACATCCACAAAAACCCCATGTAAGCTGCAACAAATGGACACACGATAGTTAAAATTACATTTAAACATGCGATAACTGCAATGGGGAGTCAGTAAAGTAAAGCTTCAAGTTTTCATGAAACATTTTTTTAAACAATTACTGAAGTTAATTATCATAAATGCATAACTAATGTGGGAACAGTTGGTTTGATTTAAGCCATTTTGATTTAAGAGACATCTGTGGCTATTACCATTACTAATAACATTAACCATAAATTATGGCTCTGTTTTTAGTGGGTGTCAAAGCCACAACAGTGTTACAGCGAGCCAGCATGAAACAAAGGTTTTAAGACTGGACATGTGTGGTTTTTCCTTGTTTGTCATGTTTATTTTGGAATCTTATCGAGCCTCCGACCACAGATTGGTCAAGGATCGGTACATAATTAGAGTTACAATGGGAGTGTGTGGATTCTATGTTTGCTTTAAATTGTAGACAAATTAACATATATTTTTACTTATGACAACAGAACAGTGGTTTCCAACCTTTTTTCCATATGGGACCCCTTTGCTATCATTCAGTGAACTGATGCCTAAGTAACATAGTTTATGGATATTACATTCAAAACTGCATAATGAACCCAAATAGTGAACTCAAGACCTGCAAGAAGTTTTTTTTTTCATTTGAGTCATTTGGATGGATTTTAAGCAGATTATTTCCTGTTTAGGGAACTTTTTATCCACTGCTAATCTTCCCTTCTGAAATACACCCACACAGTTAAACAAAAATCGGTGCTTCTACTTACTCAAAATCTCCCTGAGGAGGGCAAAGGCTTTCTGTTCCAAAATCTTGTTCCTTCTCATCCTCTCTATGTCTGCAGGAGGAGGAGGCTCATAGAGGCTGTTATTCTGTCTGACCGCTTGTTGGCCCTTACAATCACCTGTGAGTGTAGAGTTATTTGTTTGTTTGTTGTAAAAAATGAACATTTCTAGTGATGAGTAACTCCAATGAGACTATGAAAGGGTAGGTTTGGGAGTGCTTTTTACCTAGATTCGTGTCATTTCCAGCAAACGCCACATTTTGAAAATCTTCCTCATCTACTTTCTTTATTACGAGTGCAAAGAAGACTGCAAGACATAGCACCTGTGGAAAAAGACATCAACATAAGTGAATACAGATGTTCTCTCCTAATATAATATTTAGCATGTGTTCATGAGGATGTGTATCTCTGTAGGAAAGTGACATGAGAGAACTGCAATCAAGCTTTCAAAAACACATAAGAATTGATGAGGTTCCCCTTCTGAGGGAAAGGCACCTTCTCACCTTCAGTGGCTGAATGACGAGGATACTCTGAAAAAAGGAGACAATCATGGAAACCAACCAGCTTATGGAGCGTTCTTTCCCAAATTTCAACCCATAAAGCATAGTGAAATATCCCGCTACAACACTGGTTGCGACCACTAGCAGCCAGCCAACTAAAATAAACCACCAGGGTAGTCCTCCATGGCAGCACATCCTTTTCGGCTGACTACCGTCGCAATCAGTGCTGTCTGCCGGGCTTAATCTGCAGGTGAGAGGAATGACAGAATGTAAATTTACTCACAACAGCTCTCTTATGAGGTGCAATTACTGCATTTCACTTAAGTATTATTAATTTAAACCAAAAGGTTCTACATTTAGCTGTAGCTGTTGTTGAACATTTTTGGAAATACTGTAATCACATTTGCTTTCTTGCAGACAGATGAGAAAATGAATACCACTGTCATGTTGTATGAAGCTACAGGAAGCAGCTGGGTGGCTTAGCTTAGCATAAACGCTGAGGAAAATGTGTCTAAAGGTAACAAAATCTTCCTTCCAGCACCTCTAAATTTCACAATTTACACATTTTGTCATTTGTTGTCAGAAGTTGTGGTTTTACAGAGGATTACATGCTGTAACAATGTCTTGGTAAAACAGCTGCCGGATGCAGTGACTTGCCACTAACCAAAAAGTAACCAGAAAGTCACTGCTCCGGCCAACAAATAGTTGCAACACATAATGTTGTATTTAATCTTTAAACAGAGCCAGGATAGTTGTTTCCGCCTGTTTCCAGTATTTATGTTAGGCTAAACTAACCGTCTCCTGGCTCTAGCTTCACATTTAGCATAAAGACATGAGATTGGTATTTTTCTTTTATCTCACTCTTGGTAAGAAGTGAATACGCCTATTTCACAGTCTCAAGTGTCCTTGAAAAGCACAACTAAAAACTGTTTCCAAAGTAGTCACCATTAGTAACTGAATTATCCTGTTGTGATAAATAAATATGATAGAAGACAAAAGAAAAAAAACACACACACATAAATGGAGACTAAGTCTTTAAACATAAAGCAGATTAATTATCCACTTTAAAGACAATCAAGTGACTTTCAAGTCTCTCCGGAAAGTAAAAATAAATATACACAGTTTATAGATAACGGGCTAACACATGCAAATCCACTAGTGTGGTCTTACTTCTTCTGGGTAAGTTCATTTAGGTTGACACTGCTGAATTTGAAGAGTTGATCTTCAAGAATGCCCTTCATGCCATGGACTTGCTGCACAGCCTGGCTGTAGCTGTGTGGGTTGGGGAAGCCGGAGGGTCCAAGCAGACTCAGCTCTCTGTCAATGTGACACAGCTGCCGGTATAGATACTGTGTTTTGTTGTTCTTCTTTTGAATCCCCTCCACTGTTGACCCAGGATGCACACTGGCACTGCCCTCTGAAAATGTATATAATGTCTGAGTTGGTTGCAGTTCTTAAAGGGACAGTTTACCATCAAACATACATACATGAACATCAATGGTATCTTTATCGGCTGCACTGAGACAGATAACGTTCAGCTACAGTTGATGGGAGTAGTTTGATACAGGTACAGGAAATAGTTCCTACATGAAACTGCTCACAATAAGGTCCTTCGACATTTTTGAGTAACCAAATCATAATTTCTGGAAAGAGGCATTACTAAATTAATATTTTTGCTGCTTTGAGCACCAAAAGCAGAGTGCCATCTGGTTCCACTGACTCCACAACTAAAAAAAAAACTGTATGTATGCGCGTTGTATGTATAAAGGTATATTTAGACAGAAAGTCTTGTGTCATTTTTGCAGCCAAATGTACCAGCTGTATGTTCGCTGTATGCTAGCTAGTAACAGATGCACTGCACCCACTGTGTCTGTGGGAGGGTGCCTGTGTGTTTGTGTTCAGTTCAGCCTCTGACTGATCACCAGAAACTTTGACTCTTTCTGTTATTTCCCTGCAGCATCTCTCCTTCTTCCTCTCATCTAATCTCACAACTATATGTGTGTATTTTTACATTTATGTATGTATGTTTAAAAATAAAGGAAAATGATTTGTTTGCTACAGGCAAAATATTCTTGAGTAGTATATAACCTCCTCCAGACAAAGGTAAGTGAACTGAATGGTATTGAATTCACCATTTACATTCATAGCTTAGAACGTGGACAGAAATATATAGTATCAAGCTCCTTAAAAGGACTATTGAAAGAAATGTGTGAAGGCCGAGTAGAACAACTAGGAAAGGTTACAGGGCTTCAGCCCTTTACGCCCCCTCACCCCATACTGAATGAGCACTGTATATAATAAAGACAGAATTGTATAAAATGTCAAAGTATTCACTATCCACAGCAGGTTACACACCTGATAGCTGAGGCTGAATGAGGTTGTGAAAGCTCTGAGTTTTAACCTGGCCGCTGTCACCGGTTTTGTTGTTCTGTTTGATGAAGTCGTCCACCACAGAAAGGACGGCATTGATATCAACTTGTTGTCCCGGCCCAAATTCGGACTCTGTGCATGGTATGTTGCTTTTCACGGTCTTAGACAATGAATGGGTAATTCTTGTGATATCCTGTGAGAGAAAATACTTATATAGAATTACATAGAATATATGACATTAAGATTAATTATTGCCATACCAATCACTATTTTGAAAATGTACAAAAATTCACATGTGAATGAAAATGTGATGGGATGTATGAGGGTTGTTTGTGCTTTTGTCTTGTTTTGTTATTTGCACTTTTCTTATCTATTTAAGTTTTAAAACCTTCATTGTTCTCCACAAATGAATGTTTGCACAGACAGTCTATAATAACTATTTTGTTATTTGCCTTTAAAAACTGTCCTAAGTATTGACGGTGGGACGCAATGAAATCGCTTTAATTATTTATGGAGCACTTCCAAATGCTTCATAAACTCATTTACATTCGAGTACATAAGGCGCCTTTAATAATAAAAAGTATCGATATCAACGTCTGAGTTTCTGGTCCTATATTACTTGGTATCGGATCGAAACTGTATTTTGTGATATCGCACGTTAGAGGCATGACCCCTTACAGTGCAAGCTTTATTGAGAGAAAAGCAAGACAGTTTTTTGTGAAGATGAAGCAGTATCATGGCTGTCTTGATGACCTCTTGTGGTATATTCTTGAAATAACACAAAAAAACAGAACCTAGTGATGATTCATACTTGTCTGTTGAGAGTGACCGTAGGAAGATGATTAGGGCTGGGTATCGGTACCGAAACAACCCGGTACCAAGTAGTATTGAAACTGTGCCTGTCAAACAATACCTGCAATCGGTTCTTTTGTACCCACTATCCAGATCAAGAAAAAAATGACTGTTTCTATGGTTTTGCTTTGTATGGCCGTAAAGCGGGCGTGCTTAGTCTGTGGCGGAGCTGGCTGGTCAGCATTCCGAGATGTCGGCAGCAAAACGTTCAAAAGTATGGTTGTACTACACGCCTGTGGCGCCGGGTACAAATAGATGCATCAAATGCGGCAAGATTACTGCGGGGAAAATGGGGAATACTAGCAACATGATGTAGCACCTCATCACGCACGTAACAAACTTCAGGGTGGACAACTGCACTCTTTTTAAGAAGCCGGCGTCTACAACACCAGCGTCGTTGTCATCTCAACAGGACACGGAGTATGGCTAATTTTAATATATGCACCTTTATGTAATCTGGTAGAAAAACATATTAAAATTTAAAACAATAACAAACAAAATCTGCTTGGTGTCCCTGTGTATGCATAGTGTCCTCCTTTTTGATGTGAAGGAAATGGCCACCCTAAGAGGAGCAACCATTGATAACTTCAGCTTCCAGACTGACAAACAGGTCCTGGCCAACCAACCAGACGTAGTGGTGGTAGACGAGGAGCAGAAGAAGGCGGTGGTGATAGATGTGGCCATACCAGCAGGCGCCAACATCAGAAAGAAGGAACACGAAAAGGTTGAAAAGTACCAAGGGTTGAAAGAACAGCCGGACAGATGTGGAAGGTCAAGGCGAACGTGATCCCCGTGGTAGTAGGAGCCCTCGGGGGCAGTGACCCCCAAACTGGGGGAGTGGCTCCAACAGATCCCAGGAACAACATCAGAAGCCTCAGTCCAGAAGAGCGCAGACCTAGGAACAGCTAAGATACTGCGCAGAACCCTCAAACTCCCAGGCCTCTGGTAGAGGACCCGAGCTTGAGGATGACACAGATACCACCCCAAGAGGGTGAGAGGGACGTTTTTTTTTATATAATTCTTCGTTGTACATGTTTGTACAGTTATTAAATAAATATTTGAGCACTTTCAAAATGTATTAGTGTAAAAATCTTTTGAATGGGGAGGAGTGGTGACATTTATGCAACCGATTGCTTTTTTTTTTTTTTTAAGTTGAAAAAAAGAATCGAATGAAGTACTCAACTGGTATCGGTATCGTGTCAAGGGTACTGGTATCGGTATTGGTATAGAACATTTTTAAACGATACCCAGCCCTAGAGATGATTGACAAATTATGATTCTGTTCTGGTTGTCCTCACTGATTGTGAGTGGAAAAGGGAACTTGAACCTGAACCTGAACTTGTATGTGGCTGAGACTGGCATACAAACTAAAGAACACATACTTGTGTGCACACAGGATATCTGTGTAAAATATGGACATGATGAATTGAACTCACACTTTGTGGAATCTAGCTCGTTATGCACTTGTCTTGTGCTACTGACTGATGGGATTGTATGTTGTTAATTTCTTTTATTTTTAATTATTGGGTTTACTGTATAAATGATCTTTTTTGTATATTGTTTGGACCCAAATGTTCTATCTTTCTGACTAAATAAAATAACTAACTACCCTAATTTAGTTATTTGTAGTTTAAATAGCAGTTGAAAAATATGAAGCACCTACCTTGATGACAGTTTCTAAAGTGACATTAACATTCACGTTGGTGGTGGCGGTCTCTGAGAATGAAGTCTGTTCAAGAGTGTCTGTTTTTTTTGTTTTGCGCTTGCAACAAGAAGTCTCCCGGGGACGGGTGTTTCTGAAGATACTAACAATGAGGATATTCACCGGAAACATTATGAGGGAGCTCTGAACTCCAACCATGAACTGTTGCCAGGTAAACTCAAAGTGACCTGGAAACAGAGAGATCGAGAGAGAGGTAAAATACATTTTTCAGGCTTTGCACTCTATTATTCATTTGTGGATGACAAAAAACATTTAAAAATCTAGTTTTGTCTTAAGAGCAAACAACCAGCAACTTTACAAGGTCATAAACAGAATTTGAAAAATTGAAAGCACACAAAATATATATTACAGATAAAATATTTTTTTTTCGCAGAGTAAATGGAACTCTAATGAAAATACACTGTACCCAGGTCCATGGTCTGCTCAGAGGGATCTGTTGGAATGCCATAAAACATGATGCTGGTCAGCATGGTACAAAGCAGCAGGGAGAAGCAGCAGGAAACTCTCTGAACGCAAGTGAACGTGCTGCTGGGTGGCCGACTGATCACAGAGTACCAGAGGTGTCCGTCACGGAAATCTTTTGTTGTCTTCATGAAGAACAAATTGCTGGAAAAAAGAATGAGGGGTAATGAAATAAAAGCAATTAGTGATGGATTAGCATCGCAATTGTAATATTGTTTTAGTTATTTTATCGCTGCTAAACCTCGGCATAGCTCTGCGGCTAATACGCAAGTCATAAAAACCTATAAATAATAATAATAAAGGTTGTTTGTTTAAAATATAAATATATTATTATTAATAATACCTAACCTGTCTATGTGTCGATAGATTTTGCTATCCTCATAGCATGGAAATGGGAGTTCAATTAAAAGCTAAATCCTGCCTTACATCCTTGTCATATTTCAAAAACCAATAATTCAAAAACCAAGCTTGCAGTAAACAAAATAAAATCCAAACTAGCTATTGCATTTCATTTGCATTTGATCTGTGCTCTCATCATTCAAATTCAAATAAAAACTCCCAGTTTCAGTTTGACATTCAGCCTGTAGACTTCAACAGTGTGCTTGTGGGTATAATTTAGCTGTCCAATAAGTCAATGCTTTTACCTTACCTGAACCTCTTCAAATCCGTTTCTGTCGAAACAGGAAAAACTTTATCAAGGGAACAATCTCCCACATCGATGGCCAGCCAGGAGTTGCAGAGAAAATGCCATTTGTGCTCCGTCTGTAAATCCTGCACCATGACATTGCCTACATACCTGGGAAAAAAAGGTGGAAAATTTCAGGTCTGTAATAACATTTCAATTACAAATGACCTGTATTCATGTGACAGTGTGTCTTAAAGTTGAAAAATTACATCATAGCTGACTTGGTGGCTGAGAAATTACACTAAAATAATAGACAGGGTAAATTATTGTGTTACACTGTAGGGGTGCTAAAATGACAACTGAATTGTATTTGATGCATTCGACTGCATTCTCCTGAAAAGAAATCTGTAATGTCTGGATAATTTTGAGCCAAGACATACATTCCATGTTCATGGTGTTGTAGGTCATAATAACTACATTCGAAGAATGACTAATATTATATTATAATAGTTTACAATGAGGTAGAAAATACTCTGAGGATGTTTTTTGACATTTCTGTGTTTGCCTACCAGGCTGGATGGCTCCCTGAGTTGTTGTGCCACAGTCTGATGCCTTGCAGGTCTCCCAGGGAGAAGGGTGCTGTTAGCAGGAACATATCCACTGCACCTCTCTCAAACAAACATTTCTTTGGATCTGTCAGGTGGTGTGGTTCGCTGTTTCCCTCTGCACCCAGCAACGTTATTGTCACCTACAACAGTTTAGTACTGTATGTTAAAACTGAAAAGACCTCAGCAAGACCTTCACTTTGACTAATAAACTTGACAACCTTAACAAGTATGGTGACACATCATTTTAAATATGTTAGAAGACGATGGGATGTTTATCATTTCTTGCTCCTGGGGTAAATAACCCTCACTTGACTCCTTCCTCCTGCTTAGATACTGGATTTAAGAAAAGGCAGGAGGTAGGGATAATTAATATAAAGGATCTGTTTAATGGGATGGCAATGAAATTCTCTCAGTAGAGGACAGAAAGGAAGGTGGAGATTTTCTTCATGGAAAAATGATTGGTCAAAGCTGCCACTGTATCTTAAAAGACATTAAGTTACTTGTACATGGAAACTGTAAAAGGGCAGAAGATGGATACTAACATCAACAGATGTTCCTGGAAGTTAGTTTTTGGGACCACAATAAGTAAAGATAATTGGGAAACAATTTTATTGAATATTAAAAAAGATAAATTGCACAGGTATGTCTCATGAAATACAATTTAAAATCATCCATAAACTGTATGTTACCTGAGTTACTAGAACCAAGGATGATCCTGATTGTTTCCAAATCTTTCCAAAATGTAATATTGGCTAAGCTAAATATTTCCATGTTTTCTGGGAATGCTCAAATATTGTGGAATTCTGGATTAATGTTTAATGCAAGCCAACATTAAACCCAGGCATCTGTATTTTAGGTTTGGATGATCCAGCTGTTAAGTATAAATATATATTGAAAATGTGCCGGTGTGCTGCAAGGTTATGTATTCTCCAAAGGTGGATTGGTGATAAACCTCCGGATGACTTTGGTTTGAAACACTCCTGAATTTAAATCCACTTGAGAGGTTATCATATATAACTAAAAACAGATTTTGCATACCTGGCAGCCAGTCTAAATTAATATAGCAGATTAATTAACAATTCAGAATTATATGAATGTATCAATACTGAATTGAGAGTATTTATAATGTATGTGTGTGTGTATGTATATTTAAAATGTATCTGTTACTAGTAATGAGATATCTATTAAAGCGCTGCTTCCCGTGAGTGAAAAAGTGAGGGTCTGTGACTTGACGATGTGGGCTCGTGTGAATATTATGCATACTTGATGTTTTATAACTAGGTTAGGGAACAAAGACCACTCCCTGCAATCATCTCATTTCCGCTCAAACTTACTTAAGCACACCTTATCCGTTCACTCCCTCCTTGACTCATTTCCCACATCCCTCCCACCCAAACTCTTTATTTTTCTCTCCCTCTCGTATCTCTACAAGAGATACAAAGAGACAGTTCCCCCACTCAGTGTCTCGCAACCCAATCAGTTCCCTCTTACATCGTGCCGAACCCCTCCATCCATTCATCGATCCACCAACCGACCTTCATTCCTCCGACCTTCCTTCCTCCGACCTTCATTCCTCATCCCTCGAACCTACTTCCATCCCTCATCCCTCAGTATACCACATTGGTTCACATTTGTTCATTATGTGCAATAAACTTTTCTTATTTCCTACATTCGATGGCGTGGTCATTGTTAGTGAATTGATGTATTTTCTATTTTTGTGTTTGTTAGGTGTAATTTGTCTAAGAAGAGAAGAAGATTAAAATTAAAAAAATGGCAGAATGGTTGAGAAATAAATAAGAATATTTCTGTCATTAAGTCATGAAATGGGATCAGCAAAGTTCAAGAGACTGTGTGTGATGTACAGACAAAAAAACCCAACTATATCTCCTCTTCAATGTGGCCCGTCAGCGTAATACCAAAATGATGCATCAGTACACATTGTTCCACAGCATTTTCTCTAAAATTGAATCGATGACATTCAAGATATTCCCTCAGAGAGATTGGTGAATGGAGAGATGTAAAAGCCAACAGCAAACAAAAGCCAAATAGGGAGTTGAAAAGCTCGGATGAACTGAAAAAGAAAAATGCTTGTCAAAATGTTCACAAAAGCAGCTCAAGTCAACTGTAAAACAAGCCTCTGGATTTAATAAAATATAAATGTATCAATTATCAATCAAAGCTGTAATTATTGATTTGTTTGCCACATAGCATCAGAACAACGTGAAAAAGCAACACTTACACATTATTACCTAAACTGTTATGAGTAATGTCTTAGAGTCCTTTTTTGAACATCCAATGATCCAATAATCACCAATAATCACTTTGCTTTTAGCTCTTCTTGCTCTTTATCAACTCCTGAGGGAAATATCTTTAAAGCTATCAAAGCCTCCACTATGTTCACCAACATAGTGGCACATAAATAAAGAAACTAAGAGCAATGAAGCAACTGATGAGTAGCCATTTTCCAGGTTTCTGCCTGAATCACGTTAGATAACCTGTCATCAGCAATGGTGGTTTCACAACAAACTCCCAGGATCCAACACTACTTCACAATGTCATCAAACTACGTCTTTTGTTATTGTTTTGATGTGAGAGAACCCTAGTGACAAAAATAACATATTGTGCGTTCACGGGAGGGCAATAACAGCAGAATACCTGTTGTTGTGCAGATTCTTTGGTGGCTCCCTCAAAGAGCAGAGGCTATTTTCTATGAGTGTCTCTAACTAAACCGATAACACATTCACCTGAGAGGAAGTGGAGGCTCCTCTCCGATACCCAGTGCTGACACTCAACAGGTAGCGATAGTCATCCATGGGATCATTGTCCTCCAGCACAGTCACCTTAACCTGCCAACCACAAACATTAAGCATCTTTCTTTTAAGATTCTTTTTGTAAACTGCAAAACCGACTACATTTTGTGCAATGTTACATCTGAGTTATACTCCGGTGCTTGAGATACAACGTACTTTGGCCACATCTTGAATGTCTTTTCGTCGTGCCCACAAAACCACCAAGAGATAGGCCACAAAGAGTGCGCCCACAAAGCAGACAACCACGGGATTCTCAGCAAAAGTCCCAAACAGCTCTGCTGTGCGTGATGGGTCAACAAGGTTGGGAGTGACAAAGAAAGAGCTCCCAAAGAAGGTGAGGTGGTTGCAGAGGCATTGGGTGACTAGATGTGTGGTCTGAACACCAACCTTGGAAGAGAACAACATTTACTGTCATTAAAGTTTGGGGAACATGTTACACATCAAAAGCAGATTTAATGAATTACTTTACTTACCCTGCATCCATATTCGCTCCAATCCAATTTGGATTCATCCCAAAATGTACATGCGGTAGTGATGGAGGTAACTGATAAAGTGGCATCAATGGATTTTATACCCGGGCCAACTATGGGCCTCACCACAAGATAATGCAGTCCCGTGTTTCCCTTCAAATCCTTGGGTTCTAGTAGCCAAGTGTATCTCTCCTCTGTATAAGACACACACACATACAAGTACTCAAGTAATGTATCAAAAGTAAAATTTAAAAGGTATTAGAGTTAAAAACATATCGTGTCCCCCACTAAGAAAAGAGATGTATACCTTGTGTTGTTCCCTGGTGAGGCATCTCTGTCATTGCTACATAATTTGTGTCATTGGGGTAGTCCAAATAACCAAGGAACAGTTTGAAGGGTAAAGGATCCTTTGAAGGCACCATCTTTAAAAGGTATATTGACATAGTTGCAACAAAATGTGCATTCAGAGAAGCAAAGGCAACGATCATTATTTAAACACAGTTTTCTGATTTATTTTAGCCTTGTGATATTAAGATTAAAGGGAAAAAAGGATAATTAGCAAACATGTAATTAGTAACAGTTGAAGAATTTATGATGTTGTCAATTGAAGTGGCTCTACTTATAGTATCTTTCTAATAATGCAGTCACTTTGACTGTTCATAGCGTAAAAGTAGACCAAAGCTGATATGAAATTTGTTGCTCATTACAGGTCTCAGAAGTGGAGATAAAAATATCTTACCCTACCTTTAACACCAGCGTATTGTCAACTGAAGAAAGGTCAATGACTATTGTGCTGTAGTTCCCCAGATCCAAAAAAGAGGTGTTCACCTGCTGTCCAACAGGCCTTGGCAAGAGAATCTGCAGACCAGACAAAATGACAGAAAATAGACCCTTACAGCTTTTGTAATTTAATTAAACATTTTAACAATTAGGTTGCTTAATTAAAGAGTTTCAGGTTCATACCTGTATTCGGGGGCTTTACAATAATAGGTTTACATGCTTCACTGTTCAAAAAACACCTTGTTTTTCTCATGCTGGTCATTGCAGCATCATCTTTATTCACCCTTTGTCTGATATCCTCCATTTTCTTTAAGGTCCCCCTCTCCTGAGACCCCTACTGATTGGTCAGCTCCCGTAAGCCTGAGCAGGCTTAAATGGGTGGGACTGTCACCTAGCCTATAGTTGATGCCTGCCACAATGTCATGTTATAGTGTAACAGAAGAAAAGCCTGAATACAAACAAGGCTTATCAGGCAGTTCAGGAGCAGGCTTTTCTGTGGACTTGGTGTTTTTGTCACATCTCAGAACTTGTACATGCACAAAAAATCAATATAAAACACTGAGGCACACAGAAAACCCCCAAGAGCATTACATGGCCCCATTAACAATATGCAGTGTGCTTTCTAGTGTCCCCACTGTGAATTCAGTGACTCACTGCCTCCAAACAGTACGCCTAACTTGCCATTCTGAATGAAGGTGCAGGACTCAATGCATTATATTTAGTACTCAAGTGTTTTTATGCTGAGATGTGCTGGATATGAAGTGGGATGAGTGGCACTTCTCATGCGTTACAGGTAGGTTTCTTTCTGGATTGGTGAGAATTATCAACTTCTCCATTCGTCTTTGACCTTAGTGCTCTCCTCATGGCGAGGGGGGCAGTGAATTTAATTGTAATGGAGTTGATACACCTGACCAACGCTTACTAAGAGAACATATGTTCTGATTCTGCTCTCATAATTCTGCCTTTACACCTAACGTTGGTCACTGCAGCCTCAAGTACCTCTTGTTTACCAGACCACTTAAAAGAACTTGGTATACACAGTTGCCATGGTACCAGGTACACATAAAATGAATTTAACTAGAGATAAAAGAGTAAAAGGTCCTATAATTATTTATGGAGCTATGTGAACTGTTTCCAGTTCAGAGCATCACTTTCTCCATCACTGTTAATTTGCACCTTTTAATCATAACCCCTCTGATATGCACAAAAGCAGCTCTGGGAGTGTATCTCTCATTTAATCACACTCACAATTAGAGATGTCAGACTGCCTGCTGCATTAATGTTACATAAACACAAATGCAGCTGTAAACAGATTATGTTTTACTTGCTAAAAGTTTTACATGAAAAAAGGATGAAGCACTTAATCCAGTACGTTGTAAATTAAATATTCACATAATATATGAACATATATGAACATTTTCAGACCTTGATTTCATTTCAAAGTGCTCTTCCCTGTACAAACTAGTACAAGCTCCCTCACTTCATTGTTTTGCTGAATCCGAGGTCTTTTTCTCTCAGAAGAAGGCCTCAATTTGTCCCCACAGAGGACAGGAAAGCACAGTATTGAACAACTCTGTGTGGATGCTGCACTGCTGCTGTACTCACTTCAATATCCTCACTCAAGTTCTCCACAAGGATACTGGAACCATCTGTTGTTGTGAGGGCTAGAGAACCCACCATGCCGCTGATGTTCCCCCTCTCTTTCCAAGTAAATGGATTTTTATCTAAACTCAGCATCTGTAAATACATTTAAAGAACAAACATCCATTATCATCTCAGACATGGGATTTAACATGGACACTTTCCTATCTAACCTGCACTAACCAGTGCTGCCCCATGAAGACAATTTGAGTCATTTTGTCAGTTAAATCATTGCAATATCTGACTTACGCGTACATCCACTGGTTCATCTGAAGAAAGTATATCCGGGGGTAGTGTTGGGAGAGAAAATGTTGGGGATGAGCTGTTGGGAATATTTATAGCATTTGAGTGCAAACTTCCCGGTGTCACTCTGAGGAAAAGATATAAAGAGACTGATATTAGTTAGTTATTAGTTGGTTATGCTTTGAATTTCAGTTTGCTAATGTTCTCAGTAATGTGCAGGCCAGGAGTCTTATTCTACAGCAGAGATGGGGGACTCAAGTCGAGTCACTTGACTCCAGTCAGATTTAAGTCGCCAGATTGAGGACTTGTGACTTCCTTGATTAACAGTGATAAAAGACTTGACTTGACTTTGACTTGCTATTCATGACTTGAGACTTGACTTAGACTTGCATGAAATGACTTGCCAAGTCATTGCTATCTTTATTAATATGTGAATTATCATAAAATATATATTTTTTTCGATCAGATGTTTACTGTTGCATGTGGGCGAACCTGGTAACCTGTAATCTAACCAAGTGACGCACCTATCACTGACTGCAGCGGTTGTAGAGAGGCCGGAGCGGAGCACTTGGAAGATGGAACTGGAAGGCGCTGCTGGCTTGAAGGTTAAGACTTGATACTTGCACTATTTTTTTCTTTTTTTTTTTTCTTAGTAAAACCAATAAGAAACTGGTAGCCTACATTTGAACCCCCCATGGCACCCCAAGATTATTATTATTTTTTTAAAAATCTCCACGTGCAGGGAAATACATTTATTATTTGCTTTCTTGAGTAAGATGAAACCACTCAAAATCATCTGTCCAGTTAATATTCAGCTACAGCCAGAGGGTTAGTGCAGTTTAGCATCAAGACTGGAAATAGGCTGAAATTGCTAGCCTGGCTCTGTCCAAAGGTAACAAAATCCTCCTACCAAAACCTCCAAAGCTCTCTAATTAAGAGGTTATTATTTATGGAAACAAATGGTGGTATGGAAGACTATGGCTGATTGAAGTTCAACCAGCATAGATTTAGAACTGACTTTAGAAGTTGCTGCTCTAGGCCAATAAAAAGTCCAGCACACACAACTACAGGGGAGCCAGGAGGAGCTTGACTCCTCTTAATAAGACATGAGCTCCCCTGAAAATGTGATTGGAAAATTTTGGGGGTTCTCTAAAATACTGACAATGTGCTATTTTTGCCACATACTTCTAGTTTTCTGTATCTTTATCATCATGGATCAGATTTCTTTATGGACAGAGCAGGGCTAGCTGTTTTCCCATTTCCAGGCTATGATAACTAGCTCTGGCTGTGGCCTTACATTTTACTTTAAGACATGAGAGTGGCATCAGTCTTCTATTGTAACTCTGCCAAAAAACAAATAGGCTTATTTTCCCAAAAACAACAAAGACTTTCTATGTCGGAGTTTGTGGCTGAAGATGAACTTACCTATTAACAAACACACCAATATGAGCTTGTTTGATGATAGTTGGCCCCTCGTTAACATCTTTAAATCTTAACAGTGCACTCTGTGTATTTTTCAGAGTAAGGAGAAGGGCATCAGAGATTTTTTTCTGCAAAGGATAACAAAAGCCATTTATGACAAGGGAGATTTCCCACTGTATGCTGAATTGAAGAAATGAATACCAGTAAACAGCTCTGAGGGCAAAAACCCAGAAATACAGCTAAACTACAAGGTGCCTGTGAAAATTAGAAATGGGAGGACCAATGGACATGCTGAAAAAATGCAGGCATCTGTAAATATTCCTGTGATAATTACTGATCAGCATATTTTAATCACCCAACCTTCCATAGAGAAGTAGATCCCATCTGCAAGGTTAAATACTCACATTGGAAGAATAGTCCAGGATATTGCCTGCTCCTTCCACAATGGTGCTGGCTGCAGAGTGTATTTCTTCACTATTGCTAACTTCCATGTGGATGAGAGATGCGCTGAGGTTTTCAAACAATAATGAAGCCTCTTCCTGGAGGTGGGAATGAACTCTCACATGTTAAGTCATATTTGTTTTGTTATGACAGGCATTTTAACACAGACACATATCCCTCCTTTAATATCCTGTCTCAGGTACACAATTATAAGCTTATGAGCTAAGGCAGCCTTGCCTATTCATTAACATAAAGCAATGAACCTTGATGAAAATGATTTTACACAATGATTTCTCCTTCCTATGATGTAATTTCTGATTAGTGTAAGGTTTACTTCATAGTACCTGAGCAGAAGAGCTGAGTTCAGTGCCTTTGTGGAAAACACCAGTAAGTCCTCTGGCTATCCCCTGAACTTCTTCTGGAGTGTTGATGGGACCTTCTTTTGCTGTCTCAATCATTTCATCCAGCATCTGCTCACGAAGCTTCAACAGAGACAAGCATTCACGATTTCATTCATGATTATTCAGTTTAGTATCTTAACCAAATCTCAACTGATATTTGTTTCCAATGTCAAGAAAGCCACCTTGTCTCAAGGGTTCACTTTACAATTAGTGTTGGGCAGGTTAATTGAAAATGTAAACCATTACTCATTAAAAGTAAATTCATTAGCCTACTTCATTAATTACTCAATGGAAAAAGTAAGTAAAGCAGATGGTTAAATAAGCGCTCAGCCTTCAGTTTCGGTGGCATTCGCTGACTGCCGAAAGCTAGCTTATCTCTCCTGACTGGATACAGCTCTCCAGTCTTGTCTAATGGCTAATATTAGCAAACTAGCTAAGAACAGACAATAAAATAAACCATTTTGAAGTTCCTTTGAAGGCATAATTATCCTCTTCTGGTCTAAGACTAACCGTCTACACACACCTCCAACCCCAGCGACCAGGTAGCATGCCCCAGTATGTTTACCTAATGCACAGACACCAATATTCATAACAAACCTCCATCTAGATTCTGGTAAGACAGCAAACAATCCAAAATCCCCAAATGTTGAAGCATTAAAAGGCTATTACAGGCTCCTCGGACCACACCCAGGATTAAAGCTAGGTGTAGTTAGGTGTGATTTGTTTTACTTGTGATGACGCGCAACTTTGTTTCAAGATATTAATTGTGTTAATTTTCCTCAAAATGTATTTGACAATTTGGCCCAGGGTTGTTGTTCCCAGCACAACACCGGTGCAAATCAGCACGTAATCTTGTTTTGTAATTTTGTTGGCTCAATCTAAACCACCGAGTCCCTGTGCCACCTACTTGAGAATATGTATGTTAGCGCGTGTATACCTTCTGCCTATGAGCTTTTGTCGATTCATCAGATTGACCATTCAGTTTATTGGACACCGCACTGAAGATCTGTCCCAGGATTTCTCCTGAAAGCAGATCCCGTTTCTTTAGCTGATCCACAGCATTGTCCACTGCCGCCTTAAGACCATCTACTGAAGAGTCTGAATCCAGCACCTAAGGAGAAAAAGCCTTTTTATTACAGCAGCGTAAAGGAATATTAGATTAGCATTTCCATAGATCTTGTTTTGTCAGACCCGCATTTATTTTAGTCATCATGCTTTTGACAAACCTGTGCAGTTATAGTAGTGCTAGCTACAAAGCTGCCTTTTTTTGCAGTTGCTGTGATAATGAGGTTGTTGTTGGCACTGCTGTCTCCAAGAGGAAGGAAGACAGCATTCACTTCATTGTTCTTACTGCAAAGCAGATGCTTATTACCTGACAATATTTCAAACAAGAAAATATGTTAGATTCATATATTTATGGGAGAGGACTCTAAGAGTTATTATGTGATAAGTTTTAGATAAGTTAAAGATAAATAATTTCCCTTATCCCAGATATGTTTGCCAACTTGGATTACTTACCTTCATGAGTTTTAAAACAATACTGGCAGTTAGAGCAAGTAACTTCAGTGTTGCAAGTTATTTTGAAAATATCAAGGATTGTTCCACTCTGCGGGGATATGTTACACTGAAGGCCATCATCATTGTTGGTGGTTGCTGGTGAGGATGTTTCACTGGTGCTAGCAGTGGTCCTGGAGGTAGTGGTGGCAGAAGTAGTGTCAGATGGAGCGGTGGTAGTGGTAGTGCCAGATGAAGCGGTGGTAGTAGTTGTACCAGATGGAGCGGTGGTAGTGGTAGTGCCAGATGGAGCGGTGGTAGTGGTAGTGCCAGATGGAGCGGTGGTAGTAGTTGTACCAGATGGAGCGGTGGTAGTGGTAGTGCCAGATGGAGCGGTGGTAGTAGTAGTACCAGATGGAGCGGTGGTAGTAGTAGTACCAGATGGAGCGGTGGTAGTAGTAGTGCCAGATGGAGCGGTGGTAGTGGTAGTGCCAGATGAAGCGGTGGTAGTAGTAGTACCAGATGGAGCGGTGGTAGTAGTAGTGCCAGATGAAGCGGTGGCAGTAGTAGTGCCAGATGGAGCGGTGGTAGTAGTAGTGCCAGATGAAGCGGTGGCAGTAGTAGTGCCAGATGGAGCGGTGGTAGTGGTAGTGCCAGATGAAGCGGTGGTAGTGGTAGTGCCAGATGGAGCGGTGGTAGTAGTGCCAGATGAAGCGGTGGTAGTAGTAGTACCAGATGGAGCGGTGGTAGTGGTAGTGCCAGATGAAGCGGTGGTAGTGGTAGTGCCAGATGGAGCGGTGGTAGTAGTGCCAGATGAAGCGGTGGTAGTAGTGCCAGATGAAGCGGTGGTAGTAGTGCCAGATGAAGCGGTGGTAGAACCAGTAGGGTTTTTGGTGGTAGGCACTGATGATGATGTCTTTATGCTGTATGTTTTGTAATAAGTTATGGCAGACAGCTCTTTGGAAAAAAAAATGACAATGTGTAATGTGTGTTATTTTCAAGTAATAAAGGGCTATAAAAAACATATTTGTTAATCTTGATTCAATAGTCAAAAACAGTGAAAAAGAAAAAAATTTAATAATTTCTATAAACTGAAATAGTACTGCTGATTCTGTAGTGGTGTTGAGTTAATTTCTCTGCATCAATTAATTTCACCAATAACCCTAACTCTACGCAAATCTGGGACCCAAAATCTATCACAAACAAAGACCAGATAATTCACAGAGCAGCTTTATTTTTACTGACTGATATATACGCACCAAATATTACCACCACAGTGACATCCTCTTGCTTAGACTTGGCAAGTCTGCTATGACTCACAGTTAATTCAGTTCCACCATCCTTTTGCTTTACAAGTGGCCTTGTCTTTGTGTCTTTGTAGCAGCTTTTTGTCTCCTCCTGTAAATAAATGAACAAATCACATTAATTAAGACAACAGTGAATTATTTTTAAAGCATTTCACAGTATCTGATCCTTCAGTCCTAGCTCCCAAACTGTATTTATCAGACTTACTGGCCACTCATCTTTGTCTTTTGGGGCCTCAATGTACCACATAACTGTTGAACACAGTGGTGCTGTACAGTCCATTTTTATTTGTGCATCTGTGTTGTCCGTTACTGGGTCACAGCCTGCAGTACAACTGAGACTACGACAAATACATAACTAATTTTAATAACACACTCATCTGTGACATGTAAAAAAAAAACAACTTATTTATACTGTACTCTGCGTGTTCGCTTGATCTGGTTGTTAACAATGCAAAAAATTTTCCATTTTTAGAAAACAGTTTTTGTTGAGATATGAGCTCCTTTACAAAGTAAAAAGTTTCATTTGTTCCAGTATTTTCTGAAGTCTTTGTGTTATAAATAATTCAAATACGTCATCTCTATTCTTTTCTGTTGTACAACAAATTATAGTTACACCTGAAATACCTAATATACAGAATTGGTCTCGAGTACAGATGAGAATCTTTGGTTCAGTGATCAGAGCAGATCAATTTAAAAAACGTCAATTACCTTAGCTGATTTGTTTCAGTCTTAGGGGTACGGGTTATGCATATGGATTCATTTTTATCCACTTTATTTTTTTTTAAGTCTATCACTTCAAAATGATACTTATTAAATTCAAATGGATCCGGTAGGCAGTTTCCTGTAATGGTATGGGTCAGTGTCGCGAAAGTTCCTGCACATTTACAGGGATTCCCTGTGAAACAACAAGGCAAGTCATACTACTGAAATAACAATTGACATGCTGTTACAAAACATTTACGACTTAACAGACATTTTGATAGTTTGGTACTTGGCCAACAACAACAATCTCTTTAGCAAAATTGTAAATAGGCATTCCCAAATTAAAATTTCTACCTATATACACGCTATAATGAATTGGGGTATTTTGGGAAGATGAATGAGTTACTGTGGTAGCAGACTGTTACTTCCATGACTACCTACAAAAACAGTACAAAAAGCAAAACGCTTACTGCATGACCACTGGTATCGTTTTTTCTTTAGATCGGGTGATTCATCAGATAAAAGCGTGATTGTTTGACTTGTGTCAGTTACTGAAGATGAAGGTCTTGCCTCGAGCTCCAGTGAAGATCTGACAACTCTAACGAGTTTCTTCCTCTGAAAATGAAAAAGAACAGAAGAATTTATCAACAGTGCTGGAAAGCTGACTTTAAAGCTGGAGTTTACACATGGATGACATTGAAGTCCCTTGTGTTCACACAATATTGATTAAGCTTATCTCTGCCAGTTCAATCTCTCTGCATTTTACAGTGTAGGGAGTTTTTTAATCTAGAGTTTGCAACTTTCCCCCTTGATGTGTTTTACATCAACCAACAGTGCCAGTGATTTAAACCAAAAAAGGCCCAAATTTATCCTTGGAGTCCATTCTAAGGGTGATCGATTAGCTTTCCAACCTCTGGAAATGAGCCAAAAATTCTAAATTTAACAGTTCACCTGTTCCTAAGAATCTGATTATTCTCTAAATCCATCCTCTTTCTCCTCAGTGGTCCCACCATGAAACCAGGCAGCTCCCAGGCTGGCCATTCACTGGTGTTGTCTGAGAATGACTAAGCTTGACGCGTTTAGAGACAAGTATTTTTGTTTGTTTCATTTCATATTGAGCACTGACAGAATACAGGGTAATTACTCTCATTACCACTACTGTTTAATGCAAAAAGAAAAAAAAATTACCGGTTTAATGTCTAAATCTGTGCCACAGGAAGCAAACATATCCACATCCACTTCCAAAGAGGAGAAGACATTCCATGCTCTGAGTTTCACTTGAACAGATCCTGCAGCAAAACATTTAAAACAAGCTCATATCAATAAATTCAGCACATATACACATCTGAAACATAAAGAAAAATTAAACACCCATAATGGTCTTTCTTTCAGATTTTTGTAGGTTATGCGTTTCAGAAATCAGTGAATTACAGTTTTGCCTCATATGTAACCCCTGTTTAATATGTATTCCATACCTTGAATCTGGTGTCCAATCCGAAAAATGTCCTTCCTTGTATTCATTTTCCTGGACTCAGAGAATGAGCTGTTGTCTCCAGTCAGAGAGAAGAGGAGCAGCACAGGCCCTCCCCGTTCGAGGGAAACACCAACAGTTATACATGGAGAGTCCAGACCGTCATCCCTCTCTGTCAACAGAGAGGCCTGAAGCCCGGCTACTTTCTCTAACACACACATCTGTCGTATATGAAGAATTACAAAAGAGAGTAACACATCAATTTCCACTTGTCAACAAATGATAATACACTGATTGATCTGTTAATTAAGTATAAATGCATGTCTACACAGGAGGCGTTTCAGACATTTTCAGCCATGCTTCTAACATGCGTCTACACAGGCTACATAACACAACCACTACTACTACTACTAATACTTCCTTCTGTTTTACATGTAGTAAAGCTGTCAAAATGTGGGTGACCTACTCAATAATGAACCTGAACACATTCCTGTGGAGACAGACATGAAGCACTGCATCTGCTAACGTGCTTGCTTACATTACGCCTCCTGTATACACATGGTGTTTGTTTACAAGCCTGCAATTAGATTCATGAGTTGTTTTTGACATGTTTGTTTCCACATAACAATAAGGCATCAAGGTCTTCAATTACAAAGGATATAACAGCAATTACAACTTAATCTCTCAAGTATGTCTTAATGCAAAGTGTTATTGTTATTATTTCTTTATATTTTATATTTTTAATTGTTAAAGGTATCCTGTGGAGTTTTAGACCACTAGTAGCACTAGAGAAAGGTTTCAAAGAGTGGGCCCCCATTTTGTCTGTTCTAGGAATGTGCTTAAGCATGGACAAGATGTGCCAAGAGACACAGCAATTGGCCAACAAAGGAAGGGCAAAAGACTGCTAGCTACTACATGTAGGGGATAATGAAGAAAACTTAGGGGTTCACTTAATGTTCTTATCTATAAAAATCTTCAAAGCAGTTTAATTTGTTCCAAGATACTGACACTGACAACAAAATGAGGCAACAGCTTGAATAAAGACGGAGAGCAATCTCTCTTTATTGTTCAAGTCATGTATTGACTGTGAAACTGAATTTTCTGTTTCTATTTCTATACACCGCCTCCAATTCAGCAAGTCTAACTCTGATTAAACTTAAATTGATTATAGAGTTCCAGTGTTTAAAAATAAACACAATTAGCCAAAGATTTGCCTAGAGATGAGAAAGGTAACATCACAGGATGCTGATTTGGATGAAATTCAGAGCGATGATGTATCCACTGTGGTCTGCTGTTTACTGATATGCCACTCATTAGGTGATGAGATTCTATAATTAAAGGTTAAATTTAATTTCAGGTTTAGTGAGGCTTTTACTCCTCAATCATCTCCTTAATCAAATAATCAAAATGCTAGCTTTAAATCTTATATTTCAAACGCCACCTTCACAATCATTACAAAGACATGATCTGATGATGCATCATGTTAGTGCTTTATTGATAGAATAGGACATGTTTACTTGATACATGCTGAATTACCTGCAGGTCTGCAGACACTTCAGGGAACGTGACCATATTGGATGCATAAAGGGTCAGCCGGTGGCAGCCAGGTCCAAGCTGTTTCACCATTTCTGAGGTCACTGTGATGTTCTGGGGAACATTTCCCCTGACAACGGATGAACCCGACAACAGCATTTCATTACTCTGGATTCTGTAGGTCACATTTGTACCTGCAGAAAGAAAAGAAAGATGTAAACAGTTTATTTAACAAATGACCAATTCAAACAAGACATTTGAGAAAAGAAAATGAGTAAAATAGAAACACCAAAACCTGATACTTTCAAGCAGTGATATCACATTTGACAGGATGAATTATGGTATATTATATTATGGCACCTACCTGCTTTTACTTCCATTTGAATTTGAAATTGCTCTCCATAAAGGGATTTGCAGTTGTTTGCATGAAAATACAGTTTCCCAGAATAGCACGTGATGACACCAAACTCTCTGATGGGCTCTTGAATGGCTATTATTTTCTGAGCTGTAACGTGTATGCCGCTGCCTGTGCATTCAACTGCCACAACAAATGTACCTGGGTGAGTATATTTGTGGACCACAATGCTCTCCAACCTAAAAACAATCCATATATAAAATAAGTTAGCAGAAAGTATGTTCCTTTCTGGTGAAAAATGTGTCATTTAGGTTATATACATCACACACAAACCTGTCCTTAAATGTCAAATCTTTAATTTTCTTAGTCTACAGATTGGTGGTGAAATAGGACACCCTTATTGTAATCCACATTTAGCTCTATTCTGTCCTCCAAGCCTATATAGGTTGTTTATATGGCTCTTTCATTAGCACTTTTAAGGGCCCACCACAGGTGCCCGCCCTCTCTGCAATAATATACGTAAATATGTGGAAGCAAATAGCACTCTGAATTCCATTTCACCTGGACTTTAAAATGTGTCTCGGGCCAAATCATCAAATCATCAGGGTTATTTTCTCAACCTTGAAAAAACTCATCCAGAATACATTTTACAGCAATCCTCACGGTCCGAGCTGTGCTCCTCATGAACAATAAACAGACCTTCATATGAACATTTAAATGTATGAAATTGTTATTTTTTAAATCTTATTTTAAACCCACATAGTCAGCCATAGTCAGTCTGTAAAAGTTACTACTCACCCCTCTGGTCTGTGTAGATAAGTGACATGGTCATCTCCGGTACTTAGCTTGCAGATTAGGTTTCCCTGGGGCAAGTTTAAGAGCCACTTCACGCTGATAGTGACGTCATCAAAAACAGCAGCCACAGTGCTCACTGACAGCGTGAGTCCTTGTAGTGAGATAATGACCAGAAATGAAGCAAAGTGCCTGTAACCAACTGGGCTTCCATAAAAAGCACAGATACTACAGGGATATTTAATACAGCAGCAACAACATCAGAGACCGTCAGTGTGATCTGTTTTTTTCCCCTTAGTCTCATTTTTTGCTTTTTCATGAGTTTGCATGAGTAACTGCTTTGCTGATTTTCAAATTGTAAATTGATAGATTTTCTTAAACCAATCATGATCCAAGGTAGTGTAGTTAAAATTGTGCAGTGTAGTGTAGCTATTAAAGGGTGGTTAATGGATATTGCCTTGTAAGGTTTGATGGGTTTGATAGACTTCCACACATTTTTGTGGAAAATGTTTTAAGGAAATAATACAATAAATACATAATACTTAAGATGTTCACTGTGTCAGAGAAGGCAATTATAGTCATGGATTTTTGCTGTCACTTGACCGAGAGATATGACAAGCCTACATGTTGGTCCCCAACAAATCATTACTTGTTATCTTTCATGATGTGTGCGTGATGTTGTCAGGAAAGAGGTGCTAGAGACCAAATTATGTGTATGAAACTGGCTGCCTTGTGTTTGGAAAAGCCTAAAAAAGTTCCACAGTTCCACCCAGCAGCACCAACAACATCATTCCTCTTTGCTTTGCCATGTTTACAGTTGTGCAGGGAAGAGCGGTCTATGCTCCTATTGGTCAAAGGCCCAGAACACAACAATCAATTGTCAAGCCCATTGACCATTTTTGTTCCTGATGCCATATGTCTGAAAAGCTGGGCTATCGGGCTGATATTGTGTAGTCTGAACCCAACATAACATAGTAGCACCAAAATGACAAAAGTTGAGTGAAAGGTATAATTGTGTATATTGGTGTTTTTTGTCCTGTATGAGATGATTTAGTGACATCTAGCCTTGAAGTTGCAGACTGCAACTAACTGAATACAGTTGCCTCTTCCTGTTGTGTGGGAGAAACTATGGTGGCTCTCTTCTATTAAAGTGTCCCAGTAAGCTGTAACGGCTTGACAGTGAGCCAGCATGCACAGTACCAGAACCCTGAAACTGAAGCAGCTAAATTTAATTCGGCCAACATTAAATGTATTATTTACACCTGTGATTTACCGACTGTGACATGTCAATATGTTCAGTGAAAATGGCCTATTGGGGAAAAGCCTAAGCTTTACGTCTTAGAGAGGACAAGGTAGCTGCCTTCCATTGCTGACGGCTCGTTCACATAGGCCGCCAGGGCAGCATGTGACATCTACGGCGCGTGACTGCTGCATCTGGTACACGTGTGGTGTATACACAGCCCTATGTTTCCACATACACTTTTTCTTGTATAATGTAAATGAAAAATCTAAATGTTCATGTCATTTCATTTGCAGTGCCTTATACATGTAGTTCAAACACAAATGGGTTAAGGAATTAAAAAAAAACAAAAAACGACTCTTTACTTGGCCTGGCTCTCTTTAAAAGGGGGTTTCACATGGGGATGGGTTTCTGTTCTCCAGGTCTCTATCAAATTTACATCACAATCTGAATCTTAATATAACCAGAAAGCAGTCATGTGTGTTTTGTTTTCCCAAGAGAGCAAGAGAGAGAGGGAGAGAGAGCACTAGAGAGGGCGCAGGGGATCCTTCAACCGGTTGACATCCGGAAATTCTTTCACAGTTGTGTTAAATAAAAGATGAATACAGTTTAAACTAGACTGAAGGATATGACTACCAACAGATCCTTTTCACTGTCCTCTTTTGCTGGGAAAAAAGTAGGCGAGACCTCGACTCTCTAATGAAGTGTCACTGCAGCTGCAGCTGAGACACGTGCAACTCTCATGGGCAGCGTGAATGCTCTAATCTGTTAACATGGCCGTTAAGATGTTCCGCCATGCACACGTGCCGCAGACGCCGGTGGTGTGAACCACAGGTGAGTAAGAGGCTAGAGTAGCTAGACTGCTGTCAGTCGAATAAACAAAACATATTCTTATTTAGCCTTAATGTATTTTAAAGTCAACCAAGACATACATTAGAAGTGAAATTAGTTATTGAGACCATCATTTTATTTTTTCTTTGTGTTTTCAGTAATCTTTTGCAGCTTTTGACCATGGAAATAAGTAAAGAATGGGATGGGAAAGATTCAGACCTGCATGTCCTCTAGTGGATGTAGAAAGTGTGAGGAATTAATAATTGAGCTGGGACTATAATTACAGTATGAATTATAAATATGTCTACCATCTTTGCAGTGGTAGTCCAAAGACAGGTAGCTCCCCAGTTGAGGACAGGGTTCACCAAAGGAGTCCACAATCTCAGCAATCTGGCAGACCTGACGGCCGTGGCAGTGAGCTGGGAAACACACACAGAGAACATAATTACGTCCTGAGAACACAGGAAATATGATGACATAAATAGAAAGTTTTACAAATGATTACCTCAGATTTAGCAGTTCTATTGTTTAAGTGAGAAAGATTTGTGCTTTAACATGAATATGTTACTCAACTACTGATCATACAAATAACAACTCATAAAGCACAGAGCAAAGCACTTCAGACTCACCCACACAAACACTCTAACAGGCCCTGAACAGCTCGTATTCAGGTTCTGGCTCAAGGACGCTTTGATGTGCAGACAGGATGAGCCTGTGATGAACCTGTGAACCTTCTCAAACACCTGAGGCACAGCCACCAAATGCTCCTCGCAATTATAAAACAAGGCCTGTGTTTCCAAATGTCTTTTTTCTCTGAATGTAGTTGAGTATGAAATATGTATATAATAAGAGGGAACTCTCAGCTTAGCGAAAGGTCTGGGTGAATCGCTCTTGCAGCATTTCAAACTAGTTCACAGTTAAGAGCGATTGTTGCGTCTCATGCACCATTACATCAAGTTAGCACCAGATATGATGACTGATGTTGCTGACTATGTTTTGCACAGGTAGGAGTATGGTAAAGGTTGTGATGACAAAATACAGTATAAACTCCTGTAAACACTATAAGCATTCCTTTGGGCCACAGATACTACTGTGAAGTTGAGTTTATAGGCATAGGCAAACTGCGATACTGTATGTACTGGAAGCATGGGTGGTTCACAGGTTAATGTAAGTGTTAATGATCAACACAAGTGATTAGCATAAACAATTCACAGGCTGATAACAGTGTTAACAGTTATATTAATGGTCAGTTAGAATCAGTAAAGCCTGGTGAAGTTAATCTAGACCAACCCCGGTAGTTGTTCAGTGTTATTTTATGGCTTTTACTGTGACCTATAGACAGTGTTTTGAGTATTTCAATTAGGTAGAAATTAAGTTAAAAGCTCCATGCCCAAAAGTGAGTAAATTTGTATGTGACACACATCCTTGCATTTCCAAAACTCTTTCTTTTAACCAGACGCCACACACTGATAACTGTCGACTAGCTAACACAGACCACACAAAGGTAGCTCTGCAGTTAGTGAGAAATTGCCTGTGTGTGTCCCAAAACCACAACTGGCAGCAGGTTAGTTCATGCAAACTTTAACTTTATCTTAAAGAGAGGCACAGAGGCCTATTTATTATATCTGAATCATTTGCACACTTATGATTAGTGCAAAAAGATGTGTTAGCAATTGTTAGCGCAACAACGGGATGCATTTTCCATCCAAAGCCGTCAGGCTTAAATGCACAAGTCAATATTTGCTCTGAAATGGATGAATATGATTGATGTATCGTTAAGCCTATTAAGCTTTTAGGCTATTATTGTGTGTGGTTTTTCTTTCATTAATGTCCTGATGTGCAATCCTTTTTTGCAAATAATGGTCTGTAGTAAGACAATATGTGCTTTGTGACGTCTGGCGATCACTTCCTTCAGAAGTGGATTGAGTTTCATCATAGTTTTCATCCATGCAGAACCTTTTCATGGGAGGAAAAGTGTTTGTTTTCCTATTCAGATTTTTTCTTATTGAGTTCATCAGATTAAATTACAAGAACTATCATGAATCTGAGAGTCATTATTGTGTCGATCAACATCACAAACATCACTTATTGTAAGATTGACAGATAAATAATAGTGTAAATAATAATTCATGTTTTTATTGCACACAAAAAAATTATCTGACCATGTTTTACCTGTGAATGATTCTACAACATCCACCCACCCGCATTGATGTGGTGTGGGTGCTTTTGGTGGGGAGAGCGTGGATCGACAGTAATGAATGTTCTTACGACCGTAGAAGCCGCCATCTATCATTAAAACTTGACCAGAACCACACTGCAGAGTGGTGTTACGACCTGCACACACAATGGATCTCCCAGACTCTGTGAAGAATATAAAAGCAATACAAAATGGTAATTCATCATAGAGTGATTCAGAAGGCCGTTTTCCCCAAAGTTTGAGTCAGAATACATACCAAACTGACAGATAAAAGACAGTTTTTTGTTGCAGTCTCTTGTGGCGTCCCATTGGAACCCAGAGTCTCTCAGAATGTGTCCACAAGCTGCTCCTGGCTGTGGTCTGCTCACCCAGCTTGAATAGATGATATGTGAACCGTCCAGCCAAGAAAGAGGACCTGAGGAGGGAACAAACCACTACTGAACATACTGTATATATGTACAAAAACATGTTCATATATACATATATTGTATCACTAATGTACAACTTGATGATTTACATCTGTAGATACAATTTTGACATTATTGAGAGAATATTCCATATATTGGATAAGTGGGTAATTTTGTCTGCCATGCGATACCTCATGCAGGGTGTGAAAACCTTTGTTACAAATAGGAGACAAAAAGAAAAAAACCTGGTGGGTACAAATGATTTTACAATCTTGGAATGCACATTTTTTCACTGCTTGCAAAAATATCTGCAGTGTGAAATAATTTCTCACTCCACTGAGGAAAAGAAAAGGCTTCAGCAGTTAAAAGGCTGTAATTATTGAACAGAGGAAAGTGAGAATGATATCTCAATTGGAACTTCTTTTTTTTTTCTTGAGACATAGACCAAATGATGATAAGAATAAATTGGCCACAACTGCACCAAATTTACCACAATTCACTGTTGTTGTTAATAACCAGTGTTTAGCTGTTTTCTTCAATGGTGCACTAAATTACAACATTTGACAGACTGAATCAAATGTGCAAGGGACTTAAAATAAAAGACCAAAAAAAATATTTTCAAGTACGTTGCAGAGCTGGAAGGAGGTGTGAGCAGTACCATTTTGCTGTAAAATTATATCCTTGGCAGCATGTTTATTTTCAGCTTGCATTGCTGAGAAAGATTTTGACAGTGTTAAATGAAATTTATTTAAGTACACACTAGTCTCTGTATGCTCATGAGCATAACAATGTATATCAGAGAGAGGAAACTTTCACAGTTTATCATTTAATGCAAGCAGTTTCTACATTTAGGCTCTCTTACCTTCAACAGTTGGAGAATATTGCAGGTTTGAAGAGGTAGAGGGTGCTGCTCCCAGCCACACATCCTTCTTCGGGTCCAGGTGTCTTTGAAGGAAATATTGAGTTTCTTCGTCTGGGATGAATGCAAGGTGTCCACCACGCTGCTCACACCAAGCCTGGGCACTGAAGAAAGTATGCTGGAGACCCACAAACTCATAGCAGGAGCCTCCAAAGGCCTTCTGGTATTCTGGACAGGAAACAGTAACCTTTGCCTCATCTTCAGCGCAAGACAGACAGCTGAGTGTCATCAGGATCAGCAGGTGCATAACTGTCCGGCACATCCTTTCTGTTTTCACCTAAAACTCAAAACATCACTCTTTTCAACTTCTTCGTACTATTAGTGCAGTGCTAAAAGTAATACTGTTTCACTCTTTTGATTAATGTTCTCATACACATACCCTGCTGACATCCTCCTTTTAAATGCACCTCTCTCACACACCTTGTCCTGGTTTCAGTGGAACATTGTTTACGTAACAGCCAGGCTCACTCAAAAACCACTGAATGCATTACCTTTGTATACAGACTGAGCTGCAACAAAGGAAACCCAGGAGAGTGGAATCAACCAGATGGCTAGCTTGAGGTTAGGGTTTACCAATAATTTCCACCATTTAATGAAAAGGATTTATATATGGACTAATTGAACCATATTCTGTTGGGAAAAACTTTGCAGCATGTCACAGCAATAAGGAAAAAACGAAGGCCACTCTTCTCTAAGATAAGAACTAACTCACCCTTTATTTATTTTATTAAAGTTGCACGTTATTTAACCACGCATACAAAGTGCATTTCAAATACAGATAGAACACAATAAATTCACTGAAACATTCTCAGTAAAGTTGAAACAAAAATACAATGCAGATAGGAGCAACAAAAGTGGCTATAATCAATGTTTTTTCAACAATGAATCATGACGACTTGTATGTCGAAGGGGTCGTTCTGAACGGACAAAGAATTATTACAAAACTATGCAGTTCCCTTCAGCTCTACATAGCATTTCAACATTCAGCTCATTGTTTTGGTTTCCCCACCCACTTGAATGTTTTCATTAGTGTCGTTTTCAGCGAAAAACACTTTACGCTACTTGCGCATCACCAAATAACAGACAGACTGTTAGCAACTAGCTGGTGAGCATAGTGAATCATTTAGCAGCTAAATAATTAGATCTCAGGAGTTGGTGGAGCTGAAATGAGTGTGAATATTGGACTTACATTCATCAGGTCGCCAGAAACAAGACTCAACTATCAACTGAAAAGGTGTTACAGCTGTTTTCCGCTGTTTCAGAGTTCTCCCTGAAGAAGCAGTTGTATTTAACAATTCATTTTTCGACAGGATAGCCCAAAAAATAACCAATAAACCAAATAAAAACTCATACTATTTGCATTGTTATTGTAAGAGAAAATACACCTTTCTGAAACATAATTATTATTTCCATGCTAATTTGTGAGGTTAAATTAATTTGCTTAAAACTTGAAAGAACAAAACAAGATCAGTGCTTTATATATCATACAAGCACCAGTATGACAAAACATAGTCAGCCTCTCTCTCCAACACTGATGTACAGAGATAATAATTCTAAGATAATGCAGCTTTTCCTTTGCAAGTATTTTTCTACATCTGCACTGTAACATTGCACTCAGTCAGTGTAGCTGATGTCACACACACATACACCACACCACTCAGTATCAACTTACACCCTAGTACACAACTGCATTACAGGAAACAGTGCAAGCAGATGCCTAAGGCATCCTGTGATGCAGTCTTGTCTTATACAACACGTGTTGTATAAGACAAGAAAAAGGTTGTCTAAAACATCCACTGCGGTTTCTCCAGTGTAAAACTAGTTTGGATCAATTTGTGCACTCAAAGCTGTGATGTACCAGTTTGATTGTACCATTGATTGCACAGCAGGTCTGAATTCAACCAAATTGCAAAGAATGCTGTGCTCCTGTATGCAATCTCCAGCCATTTACAATGCTGTTGTTGCTTGTCGATCCAAGTGGTACCATTACTAACAAGACGAGGAAGAACAAGAATGAACTCTAGTTCATTCATCTGAAATAAGTTTTAAAGGTCAGTGTGTAACATTTAGGAGGATCTATTGGCAGAAATGGAATATAATATTCACAGGTATGTTTTCATTAGTGTATAATCACTATTAGTTTAATTAGTTACCTTAGAATTAGCTGTTTTCATCTACAGAAGGATTAGGTCCTCTTCCAAAAAGTCTGCCATGTTTCTACAGTAGCCCAGAACAGACGGACCAGACACTGGCTGTAGATAGGGCCTTTAGAGTTTTTCGCAGCCCCCTTAGTTTCTCCTACACGCTTGGAAGGGAAGGGTGAGGCAACTTGTTTGCAATGTGGAAATTCCCTGCTGGATGCCACTAAATCCTACACACTGGTCCTTTAAGAGTTATGATGTGTATTATATGCAGTGAGACTAGAGGTCTAAACCTATTGCATAAGATGCATTAATGAGTTACTGTTTGACTTCACTAAAACATAATTCACCAGGACATTACTGCTACGAATAAGGATCTCAGTATCATACAAGGCTCTCCATTCAGTCATGATCTTTGCTAAACTGAACTCTTCAAGGGACTCTGTACTTAGGTGCAAACCTGTAGGCTTTAACATTTGTTTCTTTGTTGTTTTTGCATCCTCATGAAGCTGTTTTATGTCCATCCATGCAGCTTGCATGACATCTTCAGTCTCTTTCTCAGTCCATCACTCCATCTGAATCTCTGTGTTGACTCTGTAGTAGCAAAATGAAAGTCATTGAGCATGCCTATCTATCAGTGTACTTATAATATCCTTCTCTCAGTCCCTATTGGATTTTCATTATACTTATAAATGCATGACGTCAGAGTCACAGTATTGTTTATGCGGATGTGTGTGTAAATGTGCTGTGAGATAAAATAATGCGTTTACATCAGGCATGACAGCAGCAACAGCAGACACCTGCAACCACTGTTTGTGCTTTGTGAAAGGCTTTTTACCCTCAAAGGACAACACGAGAGGGTGGCTTTTGTTATCAGAACATGAAAACAGGCTTCTCCATCTCTGTGATTATAACAGAAATAACCTCAGAAATAACCTTTGCTACTCATGCCATTGTTGAACCCTGGGGATTTTTGCTATACTGTTTTCAGTACATATTATATTTAATTTAAAAACCATTAAAGTTTACCAACCATTTATTGAATACAAATCTTGTAATCCCATTAATTTGTGCCATTTAACAAGTTCAATTTTTCATAATTGTTTTAGCAAAGTGGGTAACATCCTCCAGGCCCAGAGAGGAGCAGTGTTATCTAAAGTTTGAGTTAAAACATGACATGTTGACATTTAATTACAGAAAAATCTTTCAAAAGGACAATAATAGAACAAGCTACACACTAGTGCGATAAATTACTTTTATCATGTCCTTGACTTCAGTGAACTTTTAAAATAATTGACAACTTTGTCATGGTCAGCCATGCTAACACCATACCTGCCCCTGCTGTTGCCCTGTTACTGATGGGTCTATGCCTGACAATAGGCTAACTAGATATTTGTAGCCCACATCAGATACAAGCGATAGTAACACAGACCAGAAACGTGTGTATTTACAGAAGGGTGTGAGTATTCTTGAAGATGGAGCTGGCCAGTGGGAAATGCAAGTGAAACACTTTTGTCTAAATGGGCGTGATAAGGTAATTCCAACCGGTTTCCTATAAGGCTGAGGAGTGATGTCAGGTTAGGTCATTTATCAACCCTCACAACAAAACTGACAGTCAAATATAACACACAGGATGGTGTATCTGCTAGATATAGTCCATATAACTGGCTATAGAGCTGCAAAACCTCATGGGTTTAGTTTAACACCAAAACAAGAAAAAAATCACCACAGGTTAAAAAGGTTTCCCAGGAAAACAACTTGTGTGAATCAAAAAGCTCTAAATCCCCAATGTAACATCATAGTGTTTCATGTTTTAAAAAAATAAGGTACTCTAAGGTAGTAAAATGTTTCTAGTACTGTGTGAATGCAGAAGAATACAGACTGGATCTTTTATTTTATAATTTATATGATATTATGTGATGTGATATACAGGATTATCTGGATTAGACACCATTGCCATCAACATTTGCTACAAACATTAAATACTGGCCTCTAGTGGACTCCGAGTAAAGTGCATGAAGACCTTCCAAAATGAGAAACAATAACAACTACAGGAGCCCTGAGGTGCATTTTTGTTTTTCTAACCCTAAACCCATGGCATTGCAAGTTCACCTTTCAGTTTGACTCATTTGAAAAACAATGTTACACTCAGATATGTGGACAGTATGCAACAGAGGGAAAGAGACGAATAAATGTTTTAAAATCATTGTCACAATTTAATCTCTGATTAGATTTGCATAGTGGCATGTGAGTGAATTCTAAAAAAAATGCTTTGGTATTCAGTAAATATATGATATTATTTTCTCAGGTTGTACTGAAACCTGCTGTGGTAAGGACTCAACCATAGTACATGGGACGCATGCTCTACCAGGAGCTACCACACCCAAATAATCAAACTTCAATCAAACAGTGTACAGTAGAGGAGAAGTCATATTAATTTAATGTAAATTAAAAACAGTTGCTCCTTCTGCAACAACTGTGGCAGAGAGAATTAACCATGTACCCAGCTGATCAAGGCCGTACAACACGGGATTGTAGATAACATACTCTTTATTTTACATAGACAAAAAAAAAAAGCAAAGCAAAGAGAACGACACTGAAGACATGTAAAACTAGCTGGTCTCCCTTTTTAAGACTGCAATCAGATGCAGTTATGCAGGCAAACAGGACAGCAAACAGGACGTACAAGACAGGTTGTAAGCATGAGAGTGTGACTTCATGAGGTGTCCTGTGTGTAGACTATTTGCATAGACATCCTACCAGAGCACAGTATAGGCAGGGGTTTTGTGGTGAAGATAAAATAACCACACTTTATTCTTTCATTTTGTTGCACTGGAAGGATTACCCAACACTCTAAAGGTAAGTGTCTGACTTCTTTGTTGTTACTGTGAACAATATTATTAGTATTATTTGATACTTGTAAAACAACGTCAGTGTGTATTAGTGAATAAGAAAAGTGTTACAAAAAATAAAAAAACAAAAGGCCAAATTAATTTATTGCAGTTAAAACTCCAGTTTGTATATATGATGTACTGTGTGCTATGCTAAATGTAGATTGGAGTCAGTGAAGAAAAGTCTTGTAGTGTTGTACTATTCACCATCATAACTTTTTATGTTATCTGATCAATCATGATCTATGGAGCTAGATTATTCCTTCTCTCAGACATGTCAGACATTCCTTCACTCATGTCTCACCATTGAATGTGCAACATTGTACGGAAACATTGCATTAAATGTCAAATCACCTTTTTTTGTTTAAAAGTTGACCTCCGTGCCAATCATGAGAAAAATTATGCAAACCCTGTGGAGGATTTTGCCTGTGTTACTAGGCATGTGTTTCATCTGGAGTTTAACATATTTCATTCTGGTCTGTACCTTCTTTCATTCATTCAAATAACCTGATCCTCAGCTACTGATAAGTAGTGAATAACCCTTCATGTGTAGTGTAGAGCTGAACATTACTAATATAATGGACTCACAATACATCATGTAAAGCATCAGTTAATTACTGTAAATATGTCACCCCTATTTTCCTTATTATTACGTAATGCTCTGTCTTGCCTTTATAAACTGCTTATAGAGAAAAGCTGACCAGGAGGACATCAATGTGATGTGTCACAACAAACTGAGGCTGCATGAGAAAGGGCGGATGGAAACAAACAGGTCTGAAGGTGAGAAGTAAGAGAGCGCAGAGATAATGAGGACTAAAGAAAGAAAGGGACATAAAGGGAGGGGGCAGATAGTGCAGCAGTACAGTTTCTGTTTCTCACACAGCCATTCAACAGTTATTATCCAAGGATGTTATAGTGCTTTTATTTAAATATGTTTGCACCACCAATGGAGCTCATTTGAATATGCAAAAAAGAAGGGATACTGACAGGGCTGGTGTTAGGACTGGACCCAGGAGCAGACACCCGACAGTATGGAAGGTTTAAAGGGTTTTTTGGGGGATACAAGTTGGGTGTTGGCGAGAGACCGAGACACGGCACGAGAGCGACAAGCCAAACTGACAAGGGACCCTGGGACGGAGAGAAACGGTTAACAAGGGGACACCACAGGAAAACACAAAGAGCTTGAAGTTGCCTAACTCAATACTGAGAGGGCCAGAAACCCCCCAAAAACAAAAAAAAATCCCGATAAAAAGGGGGGGGAAAAGGGTTTTTTTTAAAAAAGAAGGAATAATTAATAAAAAAAGAGAAGGAAAAAAGAAAGAGGGGAGGGAAGGGGAAGGGGCCCCCCCCCCCAAAAAAAAAAGGGGGGGGGGGAGGAAAAAAGGGAGGAAAAGGGAAAAAAAAAAAAAAATGATCTGACTCTGCTACAGTGGAGGACCAAAACAGAACATTTAAATGGGAGCTATTTATGAGAGGGTTTATGGGAAGTAAAATGGAGGGTGAAATTAAGTGAATAAAATGCTGTGAATTTGAGCTGGTGGAAACATCATTCAGCTGTTTGTGAAAAATGATTTTCTCAACCATGTCATGTCCTCTCTCTCTCATTTGTCTTTTTCACCTCTCCCTTTCTCTCCTAGACATAATAAAGAGCATTGACAAGTTTGCAGATATTCTACTGAACATCGTGGAACTCCCGGGCAATTGTGAGCTAACTCTGTATACAATTTTTTTTTTCCTCCAGGAAAATGCACACTTAAGGTCTCAGTAAATATCATATGATTATTGTATTTAGAATACATTTTCAGTGAAGTAGCCTTACTTCTAAATAAAAAAGAAATTAACTGAATATTCTAAACTTAATGATTGTAAAATATGGCTGATTGCTTAGACAGCTGTTTTCCAGTGCAATCCTCTTGAAAATATGTTCAAAGCAGAGGAATAATTTGTTAAATTAACGCTACAAAATCTCTCTCTCAGTCTCTCACCCACCTCCTTTGAATGACTACAAAGAAGAATTAACGGCACTCCAAATTAAAATCGAGGCAATGAAAGAAAAAGCACAAATGAAGGATGACATGGTTAAGGAGCTGCGTTCTGATAAACTCCAACTGCAGCAACAACTGGCTCACTTGGAGGAACTCCTAAAGCTACAGGCGATGGAGAAGAAAGTCCAACAAGTCAAATCTGGTAAAATGACTGCTATCTGTTTCCTATCTGTATTCCCAGAGTGTCCGGTTTTAACACAGAGAACCTCTACCACAAAGATGCAGTAGATGTAGTATAAGCAGTTATAGCTACAGCGCATAGGTGATTAAAACTGATGGGCCAAAGATATTTGTTGATAAAAAATGAATAGTACTTTACTGACTAATATGGAGTAATGCTAAGTCCACAATCAACAATACATTAGTCTGTCTCTCTCATTATGTTCTGATTTCTACCTACCTACCTCTCCTCTTTGAAGACGGCCTGGGCCCTGTAGTTTTTAGCAACCTAGTTTAACAAACACTGAACACATGCTTTAAGAGTTAATAAAGCATCTCGGTCAGTTTTAGAACACAGGTTTCCCCAATTAAAAAAGCATAAAACTTTTAAGCTGTTTTCAGAGATACTGTATTTATTAAGATGTGGATAAATTAAGAAATTCAAAGAATTTGGCTGCCTTTAAAGCACTCCTGATAATAACAAAATAACATACAGTATATGGAAACTTAAAGGACCAGTGTGTAGGATTCAGAAGCATCTAGGTAAAGTTACAGATTGCAACCAACTGAATACCACTCACCTTCCAAACGTGTAGGAGAAACTAGACCCAGCATTTGGTCTATGCGTTCTGGGCTACTGTATAAACATAGTGGGTCAACATGGCAGACTCTGTACAAAAGGACCCACTCCTTCTGTAGATAAAAACGGCTCATACTCTAAGATTCTTATTTTCAGGTGATTATACACAAATTAAAACATACCTCTGAGTATTAGATTCCATTTCTGCCAATAGGTCCTCCTAAATGTTACACACTGAACATTGAAATGAATGCCTGTCACACTTTATTAAGAAAACATCCCAAATAGGTTTACAAGGAAATTATTTTATCGTCCACAAGGTTAATCCAACTCAAAAACGTCCTCCTGGAACGGAATATGGCCTTCCCTCAAAATGCTAAATGGTTTAACCTCGGATGGGTTTTTAGTATATCTAACTTATACACAGTGAACAAAAACAGTGGTCATCAGTACTGAAGCTCAGAGTGTGAAACTGCAAGCACTGGCATTAAATCTCTGTCAACTAGTAAATAAACTCGAAGTAATCTTGGATCTTAGTTTTGAACCTCACACGACAAAACCTAATTAAAAAATGCATTTTATCATCTTAAAAACATTCCCAGCCCACAGCTGTTTCTCTCTCAAGCCAAAACAGATACATTAATGCATACTTTTATTACCTGCAGGATTGATTACTGTAATGCTCTGCTTTCTGGTCTTCCCAAGAAGAGTATAGCTCAATTGCAATTACTTCAAAACTCAGCTGCACGTGTGTTGACGAGGACCAGAAAGAGAGCCCACCTCACACCAATCCTAAAATCTCTGCATTGGCTACCTGTGTGCTTCAGAATCTATTTTAAGAGATCCTTTTATTGGTTTATAAAGCTCTTAATGGTCTTATCCTACTTATTTATCAGATTTACTTTTACACTATGAACCCTCTAGACCCTCAGTTGGCCTTTTTTCATGGTCCTCGTCTCTGGTGGCTTCACTTATGATGATCAATATATGGTCTCAAGTTTAGGTGGATGATGGTGTAACGTATTTTATTTCATCTTCTACTACACTTTTAATGTGCAGCCTGCACATTAAAAGTGTATTAGTAAATGAAATAGAACAGGTATGTCTGCAAGAAATATATCTTCTTCCATTTATTGTTATTATGTTTTAATAAATAGAGCAAACCTGAACCAACAATCAACAAAAGTGCTGTTGTCTGTGTGTTTCTTAGATGATAAAATGAAAGAGGATGAAAATTGCCCACTACCACCCATGGATGGATACCCAGACTGTCTGGAGAAATTGAAGGTAACATATTTCTTTATCATTATAATAGCAACCTATCATTGAAACCTCAGTGGTTAAGATTCCTAAGAATATATTATCACTTACTGATTTAATCAATTCTATTGTGGGTAGTCAGTTTCTTTGATTCAGTAACACTTTATAATACACCCAACCAATAAAATACCTACTGGTTCCTAGTGCTACTTAAATAAAGGTTCAGTGGAAGAAAACAACACTGGGGAACAAGGGAGTAACAATCATTTTAGACACAAAAGAGTACTGATATTTTGTTGAACCTATGAAGTAATTATAATGTAGTATGATATGCTACCAAAAAGGTACAGAAAGGTAAATCTCTCAAAAACTGTTATTGAAGAAAATATAAAATATAAAAATATATGACTTACGTTAATGAAATGACCATCAATGCTGGGTACAGCAATCTAGTTCCCAGGTAGGATGCTCGTCTGAGACTGTCCTCTGGAATGCCCAATTGTTATTCCCTGTTTGAGTATCTATAGGAACTGGTAAATATTTTATTAGAACCTGATTCATACAACAACATTATACTTTTAATAAGCTGAGTTTTGTGATTTATTGAACCATGTTCAGCATTGTGTTGATCATGATTATGTACTGTGTTGGTTCTCCAGTGGATGAAGGACATGTGGAGGAGTAACCCATGCTACAGTGATCATGGAGTGAATGGGTCTCTGTGCTCCAACCTTATCTACCTGAGTGAGGTACCAAAATGATTGCAAGATCACTTACTCACTCATATCACACCCATTAAAGACCTCATCACATACAAGAAATTACAATTACAAACAAAATACATTTTAATTTTAGCAATGTGTGTTTTTGTGTGTGTGCTGGTGTAACTGCCCCCTCTTTCTGCCCGTGTTGTGTTAAGATAGAGCACTGGTGCCCTAAGCTTCCAGGACGAGTGATCCCTTCAACTTTAGTGCACAATTCAGAGGTAAAGACAAAGTGCAAAAAATGCAATACACTTGTGTGTATGTGTGGTATGTATTTGGGTGTGGTGTGTAAAAGGTATGTATGTAGTAACCTTTCCTGGAATAATGTTTTCATCTGTCTATAGCAGTAGAACTCGCTTTGCATATTACCACACCCATGTTTCTCACCAGGGGGCAGTACAGCTCCACAGGGGGTGTTCAGAGAACGTCTTAAACCTGCCAATTTACCATTCGACAAGATGAGTGTGTCTGTGAGCTTTTGATAGAGCAGCTATACTGTGTCATCTTCACCAACATGGCGTTGTGTCAACTCAGGCAAATGGATGCTTTATTTCTTGGTATTCCCCTGGGAGGAAATTATAAGTTTGTTCTTCTTGAAAGCATTAATTTCCCCCAAGGATACACCATATTATAGCCTTGGTTACAAATTTACAAATTTACAAAGAGGGACATTCCACTGTTGGACTTCCTGTGAAACCAACTGCATTTGTCTAACACTCATTTAATGACGTTCTTTTTTAATGATATGACACAGAATTATAATCAGCATTAATATTTAGGGAGGACAATCACATTACATTGCATTTCCTTTGATTTGGGGCAGTAAGGGACCTAGATAATGAATGAGGAGGTGTTGCACCATAAAAACTGATTTAGATTTTAAGTTTTTTCCCTGTACCCTGTGCTTGTCCCTCTTCAACAATAAGTGTCTAACCTGATGGTTATGGTCACGTTCACTCCTGTGCTGTAAATTGCAGTAGTTTGCAGTAAAGCAAAATATTTTATGTTGAAAAACGCCTTGTTAAACTGAATGCTGATCAGGAGAGGGAATGGAGTGGCATAACTGACCCAAATGGGAGTACTGACAGTGGGAATAGTTTGTTGTCCTGTACAGCTCAGATACAGCAAAGATTTAATTTAGCAGTGCTGAAAAGGTAAGAAGTCACTTTATTGTGAAGGAATTCAACGTCTAAAACAAGTTTGCAAAATAGTAAATAATGTAGAATAATATTTATAATAATATTTTCTTCATTTTTCCAGGGAGGGCTTGACCGTGCGGTGGTACGGGACACTCTAAAAAGTCTGGATCCATCTCTGGAAGACAGAAGGGATTTCCGTTGGATTCACAGAAGAATTCGCAGTATGGAAAAGATTTGGGTTGAGGCTGGACGCTCTCTTTCAGCCAAATACGACCTCACAGATCGGAAAGCTAAACATGTAATGTATCCCTCCCTTTTGTTTTTATTTAAATAAGTTCACCTTTGCCCATATTTACTGCTTAAATTCATAGTCATGATCTGCAAAAACTCTGTGAATTACTTGAAAACAATTGGAAAACTCTGTCTCCAGCTGACATTTTTGGCTTTTTTGTCTCCAGTATGCATGTGATTTGTACACATGATGCAATGCTAAACATCTAAGACTAAACCTACATATCCCAGGCCAAAAAGTCAGCATTCTCACTAGCTGATGATCATTTGGGGCGGCAGCAGCTCAGTGTGTAGGGACTTAGCTTGGGAACCGGAGGGTTGCTGTTTCAAGTCCCACAGACACCAGTATGGAGTGTGGACTGGAAGCTGGAGAGATGACTGGTAGCTGGAGAGGTGCCAGTTTCACCTCCTGTGCACTGCCGAGGTGCCCTTGAGCAAGGCAACCTAACCCCAAGAAACCAATATCATCGGCGCTGCTAACGTGGCAGCCCATCACTCCACCATCTCTCTCCATGTTTGTACATTTCATTTTGTGTGTATAAAATAAGAAAGAGTGAAAAGTAGAATTTATCCATTAGGGGATTAATAAAGTATACATTTAATTAATAAAAAAATTAGAATATTAGTACTAACATAACTCTTGGATGGTACATTTTTATACAAAAACATACTTGGACAAGTAACAGTGGTTATGTTCATGCTTTTTTGTATTTTCAACTACTTTTCTCAAACAGGTACTTTTGAAGTAGTAAAATGTAATCCTATAATTATTTGGTTATCTAATTGCATGCCCCTTGCTTTAATAATGCTGAGTCCTTCTGTAGATACGTTTAGCTGGACATGAAAAAACACAGTTTTTTGAGCCATTTGTTGTGTGGAAATATCAAAAATATTTGCTTGTTTCCTATGTCTTCCCTATTATTTGTCATCCTAGTTAAGCATCTGACCATTTAAAAGTAAAAGAAATATGAACCCACCCCCCAGATACTGGTGTATCCCGCAGCAGTGGCGGGTGGAATTGCAAGGGATGCCTTCAGGGGGGGGCCCCTTGGTGAACTCGTCCAGTGGAGTGACCTCATCTCCACACTTTACATTCTGGGTCACCATCTTCACCTTTCTGCCTCCATTCCAGACCTCAAATCGTGAGTATGCACACAAGAGGGGAATTTTCTTGCAGACAGCTGACTATCAGGGTGACTGGTGTCATTGCCTAGAAGTAAATTAGAGCAAACAGCATCATATAAATAACAGACCATACTCTTTCGACAGATTAACAATTTTGAAGTTATAACCCTGCTAGTAAAAGTGTACACATGTGCATTCATTCCATGATTTTCCCTTAGTGGTTATGGTAATTGTTTATGTATATCCATTCTTGTTTTTATTCTCACACTATAGTTTTCTAGGTATTAGTGACTGCCCGCCTCGTCTTTCGGTGGAACCAAACCTGATCTATACAGACATTGTTGGCCTTAAAGAGATTCAGAAAGCACTACAGACATCCTGGATCAAATACAAGTGAGTATCTAGATTGTCGTCCTGACACTATTTTAAATAACTAACCTGTGACATATGTGACTAACCCATAACCTGTGAGTTATATATGAGTTATATTGTGAGTATATGCACATATGTATGTATAGTGTATAGCATTTTAACATTCAAATGCTGAATGTCATGTCATGTCATGTCATGACCATCAACATATATATATAATGTCTCCGCTTCCTCCCACTGTACAAAAATTAAGCCAAAATGTCCCAGATACGACCCCTGACATCTTTCGCCTTTCGGAACGAGAGTCTGTGCAGTAGAGATCTGGGTTGTCATTGTGGTATCAAAGTCCCGCCCATACACATGGCCGACTTAATCGCGAGCAGGGCTCAGCAGTCAACCATGATGTGAAACCCAAATTTTTTAGCTTCATATAACTAATTAAAACTGAATTTCATCTGTACTGAATAGTGTTATGCTTATTGCAGAATTTCCTCATATCGTGCAGGCCTAAATTTAAGTTCCAACAACTGTTTTACCGCGAGAGCTCACAGTATATTAAATACCTGTTCAGTTTTTATAGCATGTAATTGTGTGCATTTTGATGTGAGTTTAACTGTGTACCTCTGTCTGTCAATCAGGTGTATAATTCGTGTGTTGGACACTTTTGGTACTGAACCAGACTTCAATCATCCAACGTGGGCTCAAAAGCACAACCTTATGAGTTCATTTGGCAGACTGAACCTGATCCCAATGCAGTTCTACACCATGTTTCGTATGTTTCTTTTTCTTTTTCAACAGCTAATTTTGCCACTTGATCTGAGGCAAAGAGAAACGTCGATTTTTAAAATTTAATATAAAATACTAATATTTTGATCAATGAAAGTTTTGTCAGTGAAATTCAGACAGCAATATTTTTTAATACACTTTGAAAATCTAGATTATTTTTTGTACCTATCTTAATTATTGTGTATTATCTTGTTGTGGGCAGCTCATACACCAGACAACACATTCCTGGGCTTTGTTGTGCAGCACCAGCTGAGCTCTGAAGAAACTGAGCGGCTCAAGTCTATCAGAAGAAAAAACCAGGCACTTGTGTATGGCAAGCGTGCCGATTTTTGGCAGGTAACAATGGACGAATAGCATTTCTTACAAAAAATATTTATTTCCTTATAGGCACCAATATTGATTTGAGAAAGTATACAGGTTCTAGTTATAGGTGGAGAGAGAGGGAACAGAGTTTTGATTGTTATTTTATGCCTTGAAAATACTTTTGTCCCTTAATTTTACCTTTGGGGTGTTTAGTAGTTCATGGACGTAGACTGTGGGTGTCAAGCAGTCTGTTCCTTCCTCCACTATAATTCAAAAACCCACCTCCCCTAAAATACACACTTGGCAGGGGAGAGGTATAATTTGGTTTATGTCTATTGATTTTCCAGCAAGTCACTCTTTGTTTCCTCTGCTGTCACACTGCAGGGTAAAGAAGCTTATCTGGACATTATCCACAAGTACTTGGAAATCCATGGGACGGTTGATAACAGTGCTTCGATCCCAAGCTATGTGAAAAACCATGGCATTATCAAAGGCACTGAGGTACAGGCCCTGTTGAGACAGAGCAAGGTGAGTGTGCAGAGGATCCATCAGTTCACATCAGGTCCCTTAACTTCACTCTTGTGTTGTGTTGACTGTGGCTATACTACTTACTCATTTTACAGCCTGTCGCTGTATGTGTAATAATAATTTAATAATAATAAAAATTACTAAAATTAGTAATTCAATAAAATAATTTACCTTTCTTTATGAGAACATCCCTGAATAAGACAGAATTTTTTTTTTTAATTTTCCATTGATATGTTCAAGGCTTATCTGAGTAATTCAGGATTGTTATAGTAATATTATGACGAGAATAAACTGGAGAAGCAAACTGGTCCATGTTGTGTTTGTAGTCAGCATCGGATAATGCCTCACTGTTGACTTAATTATGTGTTTTACATATATATGATTGTATACAGTATGTAAATTGCATTTGTGTCACTGTCTACTATAGTAGTGCAGCCTAAAAAGTACTGTGAACATCAATCACAGACATAGATGTTTAGAAGCTATTCTCATAAAATATATTAAGTATAAAGGTGATAAAACAATGTTAAGTGTTTTTTGAGTTGTTTGTAAGGGTCTGGAGGAACTCAAAACACACTGCTTAACAATATCACTCATTCTCTGTATGCTGTTATGTCAGCAGCATCTCACTTAATCTTTTCATTGTTGTTATACAGCATGTTGACTTTCTGTATAACAACATGTTTTTCTAGTGGCTTCACACAACAAGTTTGTTATGACAACTTGACAACCCTACATGCATATTCTGTACCAACACTGACTGCTGAGAGGGGAATTCATCAGTTCATGTGCTAGTGTTGGCTGGCACCATGTGGGGACATAAAGAAGTGCAAGGGGTTACCATATACTGTACATCTTAATGTGTCCTTATGTGTGCAGAAATTCTAACCTGTTTTCTGTTGTAGGTTTTTGTGGGATTGTCTTTCCCATATGAAGGCCCTGCCCCATTGGAGGCCATAGCCAATGGCTGTGCTGTCCTGAACCCTCGGTTACACCCTCCGCAGAGCAGTCTGAACACAAAGTTCTTCAATAATAAGCCCAACATCAGAGAGGTCTGATCATATTCAAAACGGAGGCACTTTTCCACGATAAACAACACCTTTACCAAGAAATCAATCCACTTTTATTTCCCAATGAAAATTTTCTTCTTTTGTTTTCACAAAGCTATTTCAGTGTTGGTGCGTTTGTATTGCAGGTGACATCCCAGAATCCTTATGTCGAGGCCATAGGGGAACCCTACGTATTCACGATAGATATGCACAACTCAACAGATGTGGAGAGAGCTCTAACTGCTATCCTCAATCAGAGTGTAAGTACCTTCTGAATATGGTGTCAACTCTACCTATTTCCCAAAGAGCACAGTGGTAATACAGAGGAAATGCAGCTTGATGAATACAGTTTTTGCATATACATTTCAGATTGAGCCATATCTTCCCTATGAGTTTACTTGTGAAGGGATGCTCCAGAGGGTCAACGTCCTGATTGAAAAACAGGTTGGAGGAATGTTGGTTTGAGGGGAAGGAAAAAGGATAAATTTTTTAAGTAAAAAAAAAATTTTTTTCCATTTCCCCTCTTCTCATCTTGTCCTAATTTTTGCCTCAGGACTTCTGCCACAGTACAGGGAGCTGGCCCCCACTGAGCGCGCTCCAGGTTGTGAAGGCAGAGGCACACACTTCCTGTAAACAGGCTTGCCAGGAGGTGGGGCTGATCTGTGAACCTGCATTCTTCCCACATCTTAACAGCGCCAATAATCTTGCCAAGTGAGTACACACACGTTACTTTGCATGACATGAATGCAGTCACATAAGTCCTAATTTAGTTTCATGTCTTTCTGTGTATGATGGTGGGTATAATACACGTAAGCAATATTATACAGTTCTGACCAGAATCATCTTTTTTATGAAAGTAATTCAACTGTAAATAAATTACCACGTCTGCATAGTCAAGTATCTTTGGAGAGCTTTGACCATATTTTCTACCATTTTTGTTCTAACTTTAAACAGCAAATCATTACTATAGATTTTCTATAAGATCTACTATACAGTCAAAAATTAGAAGAAGGTTAACAAAACTGAAAGTAAGCCTCAATCCAGCTCTCTGAAAATTCAACACATATTGTAAACATTAACATGTAGTAAATATTATAGATGCATATCTTTGCACAGGCTACCGTTTTTTGAAAAACATAGTACAAATTAGAAACACAAGTCAGATATTCACTCACATATTCCAGTATATTTGAAGGTTATAGTCTGCACTTTAATCTGATCTAATTGGGCTGTTTTTCAAATAAATGTTCTCTTATTTGGTGGAGAACAAAAATATTAGGTGCAGGTTCAAAGTTACTGTGAAATACACTGATCATCCAGATCATTATGACCAGTGACAGGTGAAGTGAATAACACTGAGTATCTGGTTATCATGGCACCTGTTAAGTGAGCAAGCAAGTGAACATTTTGTCCTCAAAGTTGATGTGTTAGAAGCAGAAAAAATGGGCAGCGTGAGGATTTGAGCGACTTTGACAAGGGCCACATTGTGATGGCTAGACAACTGGGTCAGAGCATCTCCAAAACTGCAGCTCTTGTGGGGCGTTCCCAGTCTGTAGTGGTCAGTACTTATCAAAAGTGGTCCAAGAAAGGTTCATGGGTGGCCGAGGCTCAAGTGGTCCAATCCAACATACGAGCTACTGTAGCTCAAACTGCTGAAAGAGTTAATGCTGGTTCTGATAGGTGTCAGAACACACAGTGCTTCACAGTTTGTTGTGTATTTGGCTGCGTACCTGCAGACCAGTCACGGTGCCCAGGTGGTCATAATGTTATGGCTGATGTATATCTAAGCTTCAACAGTCTATGCAGGAAGCCTTTTCGCCACCACTCAATTACATCATTACAATGTTGTCAGTTTCACCTGGTGTCAGAGTCGGCGCTCAAGCTGAAAGGAGGGAGAGAGCAGCTAAAAGAACATGAACAAAAACCCTTTTTAGCCATTTGGTAGAAAAGAGAGAAAGAGGTGCTTTTGCCCCAGGGTTGAGATTCTGCTCTAAAGCCTTGTACAGGTGATAACCAGGGTTGACAGACCCTAACCCAGCATTGGCCCCATACCTAATATGTAAACCTAATAATTTGAATGGTGGAGCTTGCTGAAGATCCTACATGCTTTATTTCTTTTTTTCAGGTACAGTGTGGATTGTGAAACGTCAGAGATTTCTGACAGTCACATTGTATTTCCAGCCTACAGAAACAGTAGCAAACACTGTATGTTCCAGTCGGATCCCCTGCTCTTCAGCTGTGTGAGGTCAGACCACTCCTTTATCCGCATCTGCCCCTGTAGAGACTACATTAAGGACCAGATAGCCTTATGCAAGGCATGTATCTAACGGCTGGACTGAAAACAATGTTCTTACTGGGTATAAAAGTAAATAAAAAGTATTTATGTGTGTTTTATCTGAATGGCCAGACTCACAACTCACAAACTGATCCCTCATAGACAGTTGGGCTACAATTTAAGCCATTAAAGATTACGTTCAAAAGTATTTGACACAGTAACTGTATTCACAAATGCAGCTTGTAACACCTGCCATGGTTACCATTTATGGGCAACAATGCTGTTTACAGGATTTTCTTCAGGTTCAGTATTTGTTGGCAGCCATTTGATGGACAAATGGCTCATTGTAAGGTAACAAAAACCCAATGATTCTTATATCCAGGTTATTATAAACTAATGAAAACATATCTATGTTACAAAGTGGACCTTTAAAAAGTCCTGCAAAGTCCCCCTGTTTAATGATGGACTCGATTTACTGTGTTTTTTTTGCCCTGCCCAATGTGAAATGTTTTTTTTGATTGGGCTTGAAAGACTAAATGAACATGTTACGCCAACCTCAACTGTACATGCCAACTTACTAATCGGGTTGAGCATTAGTCTGTGAAGCCCTGAATTCAGCCACCGCTTGTCTGTCAATGATGCTTTCCAGAGTGTTTCACAGAGTCTTGTGAAACTGAAAAGAAGTAATCAGATAAAGGAAATGGATTCCTATTTTCCAGCCATCTCCTTGAGGCGCACTTAATGCACATTGTCTTGCCAGAGCAGAAAGAGTGCGGACCTGCAATGATGATGCAAAAGTGTGAAATTGAATCAGGGCAGGTGGGAGAACATACTGAAGTGAGAAGTGTCTTTTTTATTATAAAATGCATTAGTCTTTACTAGTCTCTTCAAAATAATGCACTGCCAAAAACATGTCTGTTACACACCAAGACTGTGTTGCAAAGTATTCTGTATGTGTAGAAAAAAGACCATGTCTCAACATTGCGGATGAATAAGCAGGATAAAACTTTATTAATCAATAAAACTTTGCTCTTTGACAAAGAGATAGCTCATAGATCTTTTACATAAATAAATGGTGTTTACATCATCTGTAATACCACTGATGTCATTACTGTACAAACAGACATAATAATTCTGTTACATAGTCAGATTTATCAGAAATTCAGTTACATCTTTCCATGTTTGTTTTGTTGTGTGTGCGTGTGTGTGTGTGTGTGTAATGCATTAGTAACCACTAAAGCTGTAAGGGTTTTTACAAGCCCATGCAAAGCAACTGAGAAGTGGTTAGTATTGCTATTATCATTTGTGGAAATTAAGTCAAATGAATGGTTTGATGCCTCTTGTGGGGCAATAATAATATGTCAATTCATCAATACGAGTACAATCGAATGATACACACATGTCAGATGGGTGGACAGATGTTTTCAGTGATTTGGCACAGTTCATAAAGCTGCAGATTTCCTCATTTTTCTGAGCTATTTCAATGAAACAATGAAATTGATTTAAATATTATACCACCTGTAAAATTAATAGAGGTTTTAGTGTTTGTGCAAACAAGTAATACATGTTTATAGGTCATTTCTTTACTAACCTCTAGCAGTCTGTTGGTGAGATGGATGAAACATTTCATAGGGCAGTGGAAAAATCACATTATAGATGAATGAAATGCAATCGCAACTCCGTAGAATTACATATATTTAACACCGTTTTTTTGGCATTCAGCTTTTGCACTTACCCAGTGATTTACAGTAAGCGCAACAGCTTCAAAGATAACTCATTACTAAGGAGTATGGGGGGGGCACGATCACAGCACCCGGCCAGTTTAAGCCAAAATGTGAAGAGAAGTGGTATGAAAATAAAACAAAGTGCAAAGAAGAGAGGTAGAAAGGATTTTGTCGCCAAGTCTACCCAAACACAATAAAATGAACCATATAAGCAACAGAGATAGTAAATCATACCATTACTAAGACTGACTTACTATGATTTTGTTCTGTGCCATGTGTGGTGGTTATTAGCGTGTAAACACTGTGCTTTGCTAATAAAAGTCACTGTAAAGATTGTCTTCTATGCATCAGAGAAGGGGGGAAGGGGCATTACAAATCAGTGTGCTGTTGGTGAGTCGAAGAGGTGTGAGCTGTATCACGCCTTCAGTTTACAGCTAATCCTTATTCTCCACACAATGGAACTAAAGATAACACCAGAAATTTTGCACCTTGTCCAGTATGTCGCCTCAGAGTTGATAAATACAGTGTCGAGTGGATGTAGGCCCTTTCAGAATCACTGTCCAAGGCTTTGTAACCATCTTCAGCCTGGGATAAATTTAGACTCTCATAGATCCAGTGCACTGAATACTAATTCAAATTCTTGTCTTCTGGCCACTGACCACAAGAGGGCTCACAAGCACTCTGGATCCTTATTTACAGGAAGAAACCAGGCCACAAGCAGTTAAATATACAGTTTACCTCACTTAAGACTTTTGTGCCATGGATAGAAAGCTCTTTCAATATCTGTTTGGGCGCAATACAGTATTAATTCATGATTTATATAAATTTCAAATTGAATTCATCTCAATGCATTTGTATAAAATCAATCTATAAATTGATCCATCTGTCGTCCAAGAGGATGACAATGAAGGTATTTCTCTTGATTTCATTAAATCCACATAATACATCATCATTCATGTTTAAATCTCTAGTTTTTCTATACAATTATTCTGGATCTTCTCATGACGCCTACTGAATTTCAGTTAAATAACAAATTACAAATAGATTGTGGCTGTTGTACGTAAAATAATTATTTGCTTAGTAAGAAGAAACATTTAATAAGTGACCAAGGAGCCTTGGACAGTGGGGTCAGATCACACCTACATCCAATTTGAGATTTTCACTTACAGTGCAAAAACTTACAGTAAGACTTGTCATTTAATATCACCAATAATCTACAGTAATATGTAAAACAACATTTACAATATAAGCACTATAGAGTCAACATTTGTAACTATATGCAACACTGATCATCTTGTACTTTAACTATATGCTGTCTACTCCAAAAAGCCTATTATGTTGGCCATAAAGTACAATGATTATATTTGTGACTTTTTTGTTACGGATGCACCTAAACAGTGTAATAAACATATTTACAGACTGTGTGGTTTGTATTTACATTCTGTTCATTGCACATAATGATGAATGATAACGATGGGAACATGCAGAACAAATGGGTGGTAAGCAGGTAAGCAGACACAGGAGAAAACACTGTCTCTGCAAATGATATGCAATGAAAATGATGTTCACACAGGCTGCTTTATCTTTGCCATTGTGCTTTGTTTAATCTTAGGTTTGAGACTTTGTCTTATCCAACTATTCACTATTGACCTTTGTAGTCAACACAAGGACAAAAGAAGAATATGAATGAAATAATGTTTATAAAAGTAATAAAGACCTCACCTGGATTCACAGCAACAGTCCACAGAGACAGTGATAAATAACAGGATTATAGCATATTCCTATGGTAGAGGAAACTTTGTGCTTTTACGTGTATTAATTATCTAAGCCTGAAAAAGGTGTTACAACAAAAACACAAGATAAATATGGATGTGTTTTTTTTTCAATCTTCCCCTCATAAAAACCTAGATTTTAATATAATTCTTCAGCTGTTGTTTGTTGTGGTCAAACTTTACTTCGTCAAACTGTCAAACAAAGTTTCAAGTACCAAAAAAAGATGAATTTCAGTAAATAACTGAATAAGGTATGTGTGCTTGTAAACACATCAACAAATATGTACAATATATGGCAATGAAACATATTAGAAGTCAGATACAGCAGTTAGACAAACCAGGCTCAAATCATTTATCAGTTTTTAATTACCCATGAGCATTGTGCTTAACTGTTAACTCATTTGTGCCTGAATACATTACATACACTGCACTGTAATATAAACTGGTCAAATGTCTTGTGCACTTAGGTTTATAGCCATCATATGGCAAATGTTTGTCCTCTGTGTCTCCTGTCCTCTTTACAGTTGTTTGCTTTTAGTTGTAGAGTTTCTATATCAAGACCTCACTGTGTTCGCTGATGCTTTTTACCTTATAGAGAAAGCAGTGTTTGTTGACTCAGTACTGCTTATATGCTTTCTGTCTGAGCCCCTTTTTGTCTGCTTTCCCCTTCCTCTCTTCCTCTCAGAAAAAAATAGGATGTATAGTGGTTGCTTTGCAGGGAGGAGGCTGCTGAGGTTTTGACAGGAACTCCTCTGTGTATGTTTAAGGAAAGGAATACCTTCTTTTTTTTTTTTTTTAAAAAAAAGCAAACTTTATATGTTTTCTCAAGTAACTTTTTGTGTAGACCTCAAAAACATTTTATAAATTTGGATCCCCACTATGCCCACCATTACAATAGCTAAACCCTCAAGGACAAATCAATGCACTGTAGTCTCAGTGTGAAAACTGCAATATTTGAAAGGTTTCATCTAAGCAGCAACTACAGAATGTTTACAGATCGAACAAATCCAAAGGTCCTGTTGGTGGAGTTTCAGTTCTTGAGCCTTTTCCTTATTCTAGGTGTAATTTTTAAAACGGTGGTTTCCATGGACAGAAAAAAGGAAGAAGAATCAAGTGTTTTCCTTTCCGGAGGTGGTCTCCAATCATGTCCTTTCCCCTCAAAATCTAAGACGTCTGTGTTTGTGTGTGCATGCATATGTTTTTGTTTTTGTCTGAATGTATGAATGCACTGTTTACAGTACTGTATATACAGCATGTGTGTGTATAATCATGTGTATGAGAACATGGTTGCGTAGAGTCTATATGTGCTGTATGTGCAGGTGAAATGTGTTTTAAAGTATGTATGAAAGACAGCGAGAGGCGGGCGGAGGGCAGGAGGCAGCCAGGTGTGTGGGTGTGCGTGTGTGAACCTGCTCGTCTGGTCTCACTCAAAACGTTCGTAGTTCCTCGTCTGTCTCACACGGGGCACCATGTCCTTCAGGAGTCTGTGGAGACAGAAACAAGGTCTCATTGGAAAGCAAATGTGTAGAAATTACAGCTACTGCAAGGAGTCTGAGCCTGTTTTGGGTCTGAGCACCTCAAGCCAGTACAGAGCTGTCAGGTTCACATGTGACCCTGGCAATGATAGGATACGAATAGGGCCTGATTTACCAAATAAAAGTTAGGAAATATTTCACATCAGCAGGTCAAAGAAATGTAGACAGGGGACTGCTAATGGTTTGTCTCTTACTTGATGCCATATGCCAAAATGATGAGCCCAATGAGAACTCCAATGGTGCCATCCAGAAACCAGACATCAGTATGGTGCTTGAAGACTTCGGCGCTGATCAGAATGGAAAATCCCATAACAGCACCGATCATAGAGTTAAACCCTGAAAAACACAAAATGCAATGTCTATTGTGCGTCTCAGCAATCAAGTAGTGACATAAATATGCTTTACAAATCCTGATAATGACCCATGAAACAATTTAACAATGAGGTTGCTTTACATCCACCTTTAGAATTGCAGATTTCGCTAGCTGTTTCTCCTCGTTTCCAGTCTTTATGCCAAGCTAAGCTAGCCAGCTGCTGGCTGTATTGGTTCATATTTACTGTGCAGACATGACATGGGTATCTATCATCTTTTGGAGCTTTTGGCAAGAAAAGTACATAAGCACATTTCCAAAATGTGGGTAACATGTATCACAAGGGTAGCAAACGAGAAACATTCAGATGAGTATTTTTTGAGACTCTCAAATATATACGGCTATAGCCTGCATAATTGTTGACTACATAGTGTATTTGAGTTACCCTGTATAGCGGCTGGTGTTTTTATAATTACATTTCTCCTTGTGTGAAAGCTAGCACAGTGGGTTATTGTCTAGCCTGCAGTAAGTGTATAGTCTTGTGGGAAATAAATCCAGGCTCTGAGAACAGCAACCTCAGGTTTATTGGATTGATGCCCTGTGCGTTCTGAGACCTGGGGATAGCAGTGTGCAGTGTGTGTGCAGTGTGTGTGTCTTGGCTTTTGTTCACATGTGCATGTGTCTATGAGCAGCCAGTGGATCATAACCTATTACTTCTTCCCAATCAGTTATTTGAGCAACTTTCTCTCTCACACCGTATCATGCACATGTATACTCCTAATTGTGGTTTTTGTTTTATTAATTTGGTTTCCTTTTGTTGTCACACGTGTTTTGTTTGGTGTTACTGTGCCCTAACCTCAACAATGGTTAACAATGGTCAATTTTATTTTACTTCTGTGCATTTCAGAGGGAAATATTGTACTTTTAACCACATTTATTTGAGTTATAGCTTCTAGTTACTTTGCAGATTAAGACTTTGGAGGCCTATAATGAGCATATAAAATATGATGTATTGTACCTAGAGTAAATTAAACTACCCAACAGCATATAAAATAGTAAAAGTAGCTCCCTCTGGACCGGCTAAAACACTGAAATGCATCTGACAAGTAAATGCAGCAGTAATAATCCAAAAATAATTGTATAATATGTATAATAATATACCTATAATTTAATCAACATACTGTATTGCAACTTTTACTCCAGATAAGGGCCTTACTACCTCTGTTTCAACATTACTATGATATATTTTAAGTATAGCAACTGCATACACTTTCAGAGGTAAGTGTTTGATCTAAACATCTTAATTTGAATTGTAATAACTTATGTCAATGTATTATAATGTGATTAAATACACATGGTTTAAACTGTTTTTTCCCCCAATTTACCAAGAGTGTCATTCAACAACTCTCAAACTCCTGCTCTTCAGTGCATGAAAAAAAACATGTTTTAAGGCCATAATTAATCAGAAAGTCAGTCAGTTCTGTAACTGCTCTGATTGAGCTGCTTGTCATTAGCAGGAGAGAGACACAAACAAAAATTACCAACAGTGAAAGGCTAAAGAAATCGCTAATGAGTTACGGAAAACAAGATCATTTTCCTTGTTGATTCCTCTGTACTTAAAGCCGAATACTATTTCCTGCTTTGTAAAGACCTCTTAGATTGCTTTGCTATTCATTTATTCATATTTAACTATGTGTATGTGTGTGTGTGTGTGTGT